GCGAACGGTCTGCCCTTGAGCAGCGCTCCCCATCCCGAGGTGGAGGCGTCCGTAGACACCACCTGCACACTCGAGGCGGTCCCCAGACTCACACCTGACTGATACCAGTCGGTTACTTTCCAAGGTTTCAGGGCTGAAACGCACCTTAGATCGACCCTGAGGCAAAACAGACCAGCGGTCCATGCCCGGGGCGGAACTCGCGCTTTTAGCCACATCTGCAGTGGGCGCATGCGAAGCAGGGCCAACTGGAGTACAGAGGCTGCTGAGGCCATCAGGCCCAGCATTTTCTGAAACCTTTTGAGCGGGACTATAGAGCCGTGGCGGAAGGAGTTCGCGACGCGCTGAATGTCTAGTCTGCGCTCCGGCGACAGGCGTGCTGTCATGGATAGCGAGTCCAGCACTGTTCCCAGAAAGGAAATTTTCTGACTGGGAGACAGCGAGCTTTTTGCCCAATTGACTGTGAGGCCCAGACTCTCGAGGTGCTCGAGTAATGTGGCCCTGTGTTCTATGAGCTCTGATTGAGATCGAGCTAGAATCAGCCAATCGTCCAAGTAGTTCAAAACTCGCATGCCCCGAAGTCTCAGGCGTGCGAGAGCCGCGTCCATGCCCTTCATGAATGTACGGGGTGCTAGGGACAGGCCAAACGGCAGGACTGTGTATTGATATGCCTGGCCCTCGAAGGCAAATCTCAAGAATCGCCTGTGATGGGACGCTGTTTGTATTCGGAAATAGGCGTCTTTCAGATCTATTGACATAAACCAGTCCTCTTGGCGAACTTGCGCGAGGATTTTCCTGGTTGTAAGCATTCTGAACTGGCGCTTCACAAGTGCTCTGTTCAGCTGTCGCAGATCTAAAATGGGTCTGAGACCTCCATCTTTTTTCGGTACCAGAAAATATCTGCTGTATAGGCCCCCTTCGCTCTGAGCTTGAGATAAGGGCTCTATAACACCTTTGCTCAGTAGTTTCGCTATCTCGGCTCAAAGTAGATGTGCTACTTCTGTTTTCACCGTGGATTTGACGCGCGCCGTGTAACGGCGGGGGCGTCGAGCGAACTGTAGCGAATAGCCTCTTTTTATAGTGTTCAGCACCCATTCTGATACCCCAGGAAGCTGTGCCCACACTTTCGCGTGAATAGCTAGGGGTAGAATGAGATCGGGGCTCCGGCCGTGACATAGTGACGGCAAGGGAGCTCCGGCGTGCTGTAACGCAGACACTGTGTTTACAGTTTGTGAGGCGGGGGGGGCGCTCCGATCGCGGCGGGCAGCCTGGCCGCGCTTAAATCCCTTATATCAGTTTGCTGAGGGAGAGAGAGCGGGACGAGCCCCGTGGGGCTCAACATGTCTGTGAGTGAATGTGGGCGCGGGACAGCGGGCACATTTACTGCACTGAAAACACCGTCGGCCTGAGCTGACTGAATGCGTGTTGGTTTCGTTTTTACAGAACGCGTGGGACATGTGGTGTGTAGTGTTTGTGGGCACTGAGACGTGGGCACATTCACTACGTTTAGTGCACAATCGACATAAGGCGATTTTGTTTGTGCGAGCCCTGCATTTTTGCGGGCTGTGTTTGTGTGTAGAAATGAGCACTGGGTTGTGGGCATTTTTATTACACTCATAACACCATCGGCTGTGGCCGGAACACCAGAAAATACACTGCTTACGTGATTTATCTGGATCGCCGTGGAAACGGCATTTATGTGCAGGCAAGCGGGCCGTGGTACCGGCTTGTTTACTGCAAAATACACTGGAACAGTCGCATTTTCTGGAACTGAACGAGCGAAAAGTTTCGGTGGAAGTCTGGCCGCGGCGAGACTAAATTTCTATCTGCTGCGAGAGCCGGGATCGAACACGGGTCTCTCGCGCGAAGGCTTCGGGTTCCGCCACTGAGGGGAACTGCAGATAAGAGAGCGTCATCACAGTTTTGTGTGTGTCGGCGTTTGTTTGCAGGTGTGCGTGTTATACAACAGGCTCATCGCTGCAATATTGACATTTTCAGCCGCTCAAACTAAGAGGAGCTGAGAAATGTTTGAGAAATGGAGATTAGTCCGGCCTCGGCGGGACTAAAACACACTCTTTCCTCATTTGCCGGTGACGCACGCCCATGGGGGGCAAGGTAGATTTCTTATAACGTAAAGAAAGCAAGCCGCGGTTTTAGGGCTCGCGGTCTTGATGCTGGCCCGTTTCCCTGACGACTCGCAGACAGAAGGGGGAGGTCCACAGAGCTCGCCCAGTCCTCACTGTCCGACGCCAGGATAGAGCAGCAGGTCTCCTCTACAGATGCAGCTATCTCGTCGTCATTAATGGCGGAAGCGGCGGCGTGCGGCGGCCGTTATCCGTCAGTGAGCGACTCGAGTGAAGCTGGTGAAGCTGGCGGGCGAACCGGCGAGCTTTCACGGGCTGTAGAAGGCTCGGGGGCCCGCTGAGTACGGCGCTTTACGGTGCGGCCCTGTAGCGGGTGGAAGTGCAGTCTCGCTGAAGGATGCCAGGCGAGTCCTCAGAGTCACCGTAGGCAATAGCTCGCAGTGAGGGCAGCCGCCGTCGGCGAGCGCGAGAGCTGCATGATCCTCTCACAGGCAGGAAACGCATCACATGGCGGTCCCCGTCACTGAGTGTGGCTCGGCACGAGCCACAGGAGGATGGCATCTTTAAAAAGACGCGGCTCTTTTAGATGATAGACGTGTGAGTCGCGAGGCGAGCACACACAAACATACACACAGAGCAGAGTAAAGGATATATAGTACGCCGGAAAGCGCAGCAAGTACGGCGGCTGAAGGCGGCGAGGTGAAGGCCAGCGACTTCAGGCTCAAGGGCTCGTCCCGCTGAAGGCTTGCGTCGACGGCGCGGCTTCTCACTCCGGATCCAGCGATGCGTGTAGCTTTGCTTCGGCGATGAAAACCAGTTTGTATCAGCTATCGACCTGCTAATATAGGGCGAGACCACGCCCTTTCTGGCGGGACGTGACGAAATGGGCGTGAAGTGCCCCCATTGGTCAAGACGTCACGCAGAGCCGCTCTCGATAGGCTGCTGCTTTTGTCGCAGGGCAGCCAATAGGCGCGCGAGCCGCCTCGCCTATGTCTGCTTGCTGCCGCAAAGCGTTTTACATTGATTAAAAATTAAGGATAGTTTTTGGCTTCAATATCTCGAGGAAAAGAGGTTTTCCCCATAGCGTAAGATATTACGCAGTACGAGAGATACTCTCGTAAGAGAATTATATTAGTGGACTAATGTAGGGAATAGGGAATGAGTGTAGGGGGTCGATTTCGTACACGGCCGCTAGGTAACAATGACGAAGAACACAGGCAAACAGAAACAGAAGAGAACCAAAACAAAACAGAATACACAGTACATTATTATTATCATTAAAAGTTAAAATTAACAACTGATTAGTAAACAAATGCATATAAGGGAATTTTTATGAGGTTATATAGTCTAACTTTTCAGTGATGTAAGAGATTTTTTGCTAAATGCTCCTCTCTATAGAGTTATCTATCGAGTTTATGGTCATTGAATGGCTTTTCTGAGGTAAATGTAACGTTAGGTGACTATTTACTAGCTGTTTTATTGACCTTTTTCTGTGGTTGGAACCCTGATTGAGTAATTGCATGAGACATAATACATTTCAGTAAGTTGTTCTGTGTTTCAACAGGGTTGATTGTACCATGTAAACATTAGGCTAACATGTTGTCAGTAGCTGAAAGAAATTATGTTAAAAAATTATACTGAATCAAGGAATTCTTTACAAATTTGTGGCAACGATTCCAAGAATTTTTCAAACTAAATTTCGCATGAGAATGATGTTGGTGTGTTGGTTTAGTTGGAGCAGGAGAAAGTGCATCATCTCTTCCTCACTCGCTCTGCGCTCGATTTACAGTAAAACCACAGGACGCCACTGCGCGCGCTTGACTCAACTCCATTCAGCTCCACACACACTATTTCATCTTTCGACACCACTGGAGCTCTTTGGAGACTGGGATTATGGCTCACTGGTTGCAATATACAATATTTCTGACTGCTGTTCTACGTGTATGGTCATCTACTGAGACGAGCAGAAAGCGAGAGTTCACTGAGGCACAGGTAACAAAAACGTGATTTAAATGCATGTTTTCTTTAGGTTGTATACCTTAGGCAACATTTAAATATCGGAAAATAACATCCATATTGTTAACTCTTATGTAATTCGAACAACAACAAGAATTTCAAATATGTCGTTACATACACGGGTCTAAAGCATTAAAAAAGAAAGCATTTGGATGAATGCTGTGTTATAAATGTAGCCCAGTTTGGAAATACTATAAAGTATCGTCTACTTTTACATGAATCAAACAGCCAGAAGACAACGCTAAAAAGTAATACAGACTTAAAAAATAAAAACAGGAATTCTGAATGAATCTTAAAGATTAGCCTACGGGAAGTTAAAAGAATGAGACAGTCGTAATATATTTTTGGCCAAACTCTTCTGAAGCTTTTGGGTCAGGTCTCAGAATTATATGAATTCTATCTATTAATAATACTATTAAAATGTAATTTATATATGCCTTGATGAGCATGTCTTTATTATATATTCATGTTTTTAGCACATGGTTTTTAAACTCGATTTTTTATTATTATTATTATAGATTGTAGATTACTTAGATTGAAACATCAACAAAAAAAAAAACTATTATTTTGGCTGAAATGGTAATTATTAATAATTAACTGTGCAAATTGCTTTTGAATGCTTTTCAGTGTGGTTTCGTTGTGTCCATCACTTGTGTTAACTGCTATCACAAAAATATGATAATATTAGAAGTTTAGTTTGGAGAAAAATTCTAATTAAACAAAAATATTTGAAGCAGGTGTTTGAACGTACATTTGTGTTACTGAACTTCTGACTTAAAATGATTAGCCACAGTTTGCTGGTTTTGACAATACATCTGTAATATTTTAACATTCATAACACATGCATTTACATTTTTTAATGATTAATGGGGTCGTTTTTGTTAGACTGCATATATTTTCACATTTCATAGATATACCTGAGGCGGTTTGGATATCTAGATACTCCACTGAACCCGGAAGTTCAGAAAGATTCCAGTGAGTGGGATATGAAGGTGGCTGTTAGGTAAAATCAATGTTGTTATTATATATATATATATATATATATATGTATATATACACTCACCGGCCACTTTATTAGGTACACCTGTCCAACTGCTCGTTAACACTTAATTTCTAAGCAGCCAATCACATGGCGGCAACTCAGTGCATTTAGGCATGTAGACATGGTCAAGACAATCTCCTGCAGTTCAAACCGAGCATCAGTATGGGGAAGAAAGTTGATTTGAGTGACTTTGAACGTGGCATGATTGTTGGTGCCAGAAGGGCTGGTCTGAGTATTTCAGAAGCTGCTAATCTACTGGGATTTTCACGCACAACCATCTCTAGGGTTTACAGAGAATGGTCCGAAAAAGAAAAAACATCCAGTGAGCGGCAGTTCTGTGGGCGGAAATGCCTTGTTGATGCCAGAGGTCAGAGGAGAATGGCCAGATTGGTTCGAGCTGATAGAAGGGCAACAGTGACTGAAATAACCACTCGTTACAACCGAGGTATGCAGCAAAGCATTTGTGAAGCCACAACACGCACAACCTTGAGGCGGATGGGCTACAACAGCAGAAGACTCCACCGGGTACCACTCATCTCCACTACAAATAGGAAAAAGAGGCTACAATTTGCAAGAGCTCACCAAAATTGAACAGTTGAAGACTGGAAAAATGTTGCCTGGTCTGATGAGTCTCGATTTCTGTTGAGACATTCAGATGTTAGAGTCAGAATTTGGCGTAAACAGAATGAGAACATGGAACCATCATGCCTTGTTACCACTGTGCAGGCTGGTGGTGGTGGTGTAATGGTGTGGGGGATGTTTTCCTGGCACACTTTAGGCCCCTTAGTGCCAATTGGGCATCGTTTAAATGCCACGGCCTACCTGAGCATTGTTTCTGACCATGTCCATCCCTTTATTGCCACCATGTACCCATCCTCTGATGGCTACTTCCACCATGTCACAAAGCTCTAATCATTTCAAATTGGTTTCTTGAACATGACAATGAGTTCACTGTACTAAAATGGCCTCCACACAGTCACCAGATCTCAACCCAATAGAGCATCTTTGGGATGTGGTGGAACGGGAGATTCGCATCATGGATGTGCAGCCGACAAATCTGCGGCAACTGTGTGATGCCATCATGTCAATATGGACCAAACTCCCTGAGGAATGCTTCCAGCACCTTGTTGAATCTATGCCACGAAGAATTGAGGCAGTTCTGAAGGCAAAAGGGGGTCCAACCCGTTACTAGCATGGGGTACCTAATAAAGTGGCCGGTGAGTGTATATATATATATATATACACATACACACACATTTTAAAAATGCATGTCAAATGCTTGATTTTACCACCGACTTGATCCTAATTTTATATAAATTCTTATGGGTCACACTCACATTGTAATCTCTTTTGTGTCGTGTCGTATTTGTGAAAGTCTCTTTCAGAGGGTGTCGGGGCTGTCAGTCACTGGACGTCTCGACAGAGCTACTCTTCTTAAAATGAGGCAGCCGCGGTGTGGTGTTGAGGACCCCTTCAACCAGAAGTCTTTCAAGTACAGGCGATTTGGTGGTGGGTGCCTATACTTCCAGATTGTTTAATAATTCAGTCAACCTCCTTTATTACTAAATCACAAACAGTTTCTATGAACCCTTTCTAGTCATAAGAAAGGGTCATCTTAATGCATTGCGATGCATGCACAATGCCTTATAATATGTTGTATCATCTTGTATCATGAATAATGATACAAAAAAACATTTCACATTATTATTATAGGCCTACTTGCTATTTGTGTTTATAACTTTGAAGAGTATGATGACTCATAACACATGATTTACACTTTATACTCACTTAAGTTACAACAGATTGTACACTTGTAAGAATGAGTCGTGCTGTTCCAGTGACAGTCCTGAAAGCCAGCGTCGACACTTTAAATTTAATTCTGGATGCAAATGTGGTCCAGTTATTAACTTAATTTAGGGTTTTAGTCACATTACATTGATCAGCGAACATGAACCAGCTCAACCAAACCCGCTTGCAAACAAACCTCATTGCAGAAGCTCAAACGTACTAAACAATTGAATATGGTCATTTACAATTGATGCAGTAAAGGATAGAATGAAATGGTAGGCAATAACCAAAGAAATCAACTTTGCCCTTTACATGGAGAAAACAGCTGTTTGGGTTTTTAGTTTGTGTTTCTTATTTTGTAGGATTTTGGCGAAAGAAAAACTTAACATATCGGATTTACAGCCACACACCAGATATGGGGAAAAGCGCGACACAGACAGCCATACGCTCAGCCTTTACCTACTGGAGTGAGGTCACCCCACTCAGCTTTAAAGAGGTCAGCTCTGGGCTTGCTGATATTAGGATCTCATTTCACAAGAGAGATGGCTGTCCTTCACCTTTTGATGGTCCTGGTAAGTAAATCTCACCAAATGAATCTTACTATTTAATATAATATTAAAAATGATATATTACAAAACATAATGGAACATAATACAATTAAATAGTGTTTTATGTGTTTTACTCCTGTCATGGCGTTTTACGATTCAATAAGATCTAATGTTAGACACCATCTGGTCACAAAGTAGCCTGGTTAAAACCAGAGCATTCTCAGTTGTAACTGAGTTATGGTCTGGCAAAGCGTCATAGACAAATCATTTCCAGAGGGGCGTCACCAACGGACGTCGCGGATAGACCTAAACCCAATCAGAGCGATGAAGGAGATGACGTATGCAGAGCGGCGGAGAAACATCTCCGAGTGTTGTTCTTTGTTCGGTTTTTACCAAAAAGGAAACGTTCAAATGGTTTAAAACAGATGCGATAGCTGATTGGAACGAGTGATGTTCGACGGCGGCATCCATCTTTGTAATGTAGGCTACAAAATCATGTTCAAAATCCCAGCGCTGTCGTCATCGTGTAAACCCCGCCCCAACGCTTCTGATTGGTGCCTCGATTTCGACGGATTGGAAATGGGTTTGAATGAGCTCTTTGCCAGACTAACTTTCAGAGCTAATCTAAATTTGCCCGAAGTTGTCTGGGTTTTCCCAGGCTAGTCACAAAGAAAACATTCTATATAGAATCTTAAAGGCTTCTGTCAGGCACGTCATATATAGAAGCTTTCAAACCCATCGAATTCATTTTTTAAATTCATTTTTTATTTAGATTAAATTTTATGAACTAACAGCTTTTTTTAATTTGCTGTTACTTACTGAGTAGTTCATCTTGTTTCAGTATTAGTTGTAGCTGAAGTGTTAATGTAGAACTCATTTGTCCTGCATTACTTCCTTCATAGGAACCTATTACAGTTTTTCTCGATTGCTTAAACACATTTCTTGAAACTATGCCTCGTATTCTCAAAACAGTAAACACAAATCCATAACGTCTCACCCAATTCCCCAAACATCCTATTTTCAGGTCAAAATGAAGCTCTACACTCAAAACCATTCACTCTTGCTGAAAAACCAAACTTTGCCCTCAGACAGGACACACAAGCCCTCAAAAATACACACACTACAACATAGTCTTACACACTGGTGCAATAAATTCAAAACAACATTTCCAAAACTGGTAAGTCATGTTGCTTGTCTGTACTCGTTGCCCAGCCTCCCTCATAGTCATACCATGGACAAGGACATGGTCAACTAAAGTGGCTTGAATTTCATCCGAGACTGCTTGCCTTCTTGCCCTTGCCCTTCCTCCTCCTACTCCTTCTTCTCCTCCTCCTCCTCTTATTCCTCCTCCTCCTCTTCCTCCTCCTATTCCTCCTCCAATTCCTCTTCCTCCTCCTTTTCCTCCTCCTCTTCCTCTCCCTCCTCCTCCTCTTCCTCCTCCTCTTCCTCTCCCTCCTCCTCCTCCTCTTCCTATTGCTTAATTTCTCTGTGGATCCATTGTTCCAAAACTCAGTAAACTGATTTTTATCTTTTATAAAAGATTGTATAACCTTTTGAAGGTTATACTATCTATTGAAGGATCTGACTGTGTGTGTGTTCAATTTTGACTCTTAGTGTTTTCACCTGGGTAATTGTGTGCTAACTGAGCTGAAGCTGAGCTGACTTGAGTAAACAATTTTGAATGCTAGTGCTTTCTAAATGACCACGTGGTGTAGGCAATGAGAAATGAAGGGATTTGTGTGTAGAGTTTTGCTGTGACAGTTCAACAAATCTGACTTATGTGTCAAAACAGGGGAATAGTGTTCATAGTTCAGTGAAATGGGTGTGCTTTTTCATAAATGGCATTATGGTTTTGAAATTTTAGTTCAAAAGCCTGGTTATAGTGTTTAAGCAATCGAGAAAAACTGTAATGACGGAGCATTGTTCTAAAGTGTTACGTAATAATATGTTGTTAGGCCATGTTCTTGCCCATGCTGAAGCCCCTCCATCAGGAATAGTTCACTTTGATGAAGATGAATTCTGGACTGAAGGGAAGTATTATGGTTCTAATCTGCGCATTGTTGCGGCTCATGAGATCGGCCACGCTCTTGGCTTGGGTCATTCTCAGTACAGCGGTGCTCTTATGGCAGCGCACTACACTGGTTACCAAGCTAATTTTAGACTGCACATTGATGATATCAGAGGAATCCAAGCCATATATGGTGAGATAATCAAGTGAATTTTTAAATACATAAATGTTTGCCAATGGATATAAGTGTCTTTGCTAATTACTCTCATGAATTCAGGTAAAAAGATCTCCAGTACAACTACTGCTGATGATATCTATGACGAAACATATCCCACAACCATGGCCCCATTCCCCAGGAGTGATGTGCTAGATCCATGCAATGCTAAACTTGATGCTATAATGCTGGGTGAGAAAACCGTGCCGTATAACGATACACATGACCTCAGTTCATTCAAGTTTATCAAATGCAGTAAATTTGCTTGTTCAATAACTAATTATATAATGATATATGTTATAGAAAATGTTCTAAAACCGTAATTATTTGTCTTAGGTCCCTGGCGCAAGACGTATGCGTTTAGTGGGGATTATGTGTGGACGGTAACAGATATGGGCCATAACTCTCCAGTCAAAATAAGTCTGCTATGGAAGGGGCTGCCAGGAAACCTGAATGCAGCTGTATATTCCCCAAGAACCAACAAGACATACTTCTTTAAAGGTAGATCATTCTACATTAAAGTGGTGTTTTATATGCTTTTTAAAATGTTTTATTGAAAATTGTTGGAATTGTGTTGGAGCATAATGAATGAGATTTTACTCACAAAAGTCCACGGTCCAATTGGAGAAATGAGAATTCCCAATATGGCAGCTGTAGTCCCACCTTACAATTAAAACTTGTCAACTTGATTTTATTTATATACAGTAGTGCTTTATAGTAACCAAAGGCAACAATGGCAAGGAACCAAAACTCTATCAGGTGATACACTGAAAAAAATTTGGGGCGAAAAAATCAAATAAAACAAGGTTTATTAAAGAACTCAAATGCAGGTAATTCATAGAAAGAGCAAACAACACGAAACAGTGTGCTATGCACAAACAATACCAGACAATGAGGGAAAGGAATTAAGGGGATATTTCACCTTTGGAAAGATGGATGTGTATTTAAAATGGGTCATTTATGTAGAAGATATGTGAAATTATTTTTGAATTTGGAGCTTTCTAGACTGAGAAAAGACAGAAAATGTATTTTTGGCTTATGTGGATGAAAGACAACAACTCCCAGAAAGCACTTGCTTCGCTGCCCTAGGAGGCCACGCCTACCGGTAACAGAGCGCAGTAGTTAAACAACAAGTCTAGGCTACTAGTGAGTCTCCGTGATGACTCTGCCCGAAAATGTGTTTCGAGATCGCCCAAAATGTCCGGGAGCAGGACGAGGCTAGGGCCGCGGGAGACCGGTGGCGTGATTACCGATGAGCGGCCGACACCTGTGAGACGCACCAGTCTCGTGTCTCTCACGGAGGAGCGGGAATTTTTGCGTTCAAAAATTTGTTTAGCGTTCATGTAAACACTACATTCAGATTCACCAATCGGAATGAGTTCAGTTAGATTGAAACAAAAGGTGTGCATGTAAACAATGAATGGCGACTGCAGAAAGCAAAAGCTGAATCCCGGACATCGACGGCCGGACATGTCCGGGAAAAAGAGGATGGTAACCCCTACTACTCAGCTTTCTCCACAGAACAAGAGCCTGCTAGCTTAGCTTACAAAAAAAGATGGCTGACACTATGTGTACATTCTGTGAGTGAGATCCCAGCCTCTATGGGCGGGTTGAGAACATGCGGGACAGACCCTACTACTGACTGTAGTCTTTAGCCTCTGGCCAAAAAATCCTCCGATGACACAAAATGACGATTTTTGCCTCATTGGAGGATTTTTTCCAGACAAAAAATACATAAATCTCTCGTCTCAGGGGGATGTGAGGGTGGAAAGCATGGTAATTCGAAAATACTACAGGTTTTCTACTAATACAAAGCTTAATGCTAAATCCTGAAGTATCCCTTTAAGGAACTTAAATACACCATGGTGATAAACATAATGACAAACAGCTGTGATGATTAATGAGTCTCCATGGAAACTGATTGTTAGCGGGAAACTAGAACAAAGAAAACAGGTGACTGAAGAGAGCCAAACTAAAAGTCCATGAAAATTAAACTAACAGAACATAATTGTGACACCTTTGTTCTGCGTTTTTTGTTGTTGTTTTTTTAACGGGTGATTCCTCTGAGGTTGGCGATTTAGCGGCTCCATGTCAACCTTTCTTGCTCGTTGTGACAACTAACGTCTGCCACTTCCACACCAGACACGCATCAAAGTAGCCGGAGCAACTTTTCTCCATTTACGGATATGACGAGACACACGGACGAGTGATGCAAGTACGCAATTTTCCTTGAAAACCATCCTGCTAAGTCTAAAATATAAACATTTATAATAGACTTACCATAGTGAATCAGGGTAAGACAAAAACACGTTTTGGATTGATGATGTATTGACTGATTTTTAATTTTGAACAAAAAAAAAACTTTATGAACTTCAAAAAGTATTTTTTTTACGGAGTAGTAGTGGAGAAAAACAACAACAACCACCTTTGGAGAAATCTAGCTCAATGGAGGTCAGGAGGTTGACTATTATAATGTGGAAGTTGATTTCAATGGTATGGTATAATTAAAATGGATGGTATTTAGCTTTAAATGATAAATACTATAGATAAAAACAGTATGTAGTTTGTCAGTTTGATGGGGTTTGTGTGCTGAAGTTGAAGAGGACTGTGTTGTGGTCAGAGCTGGTCATAAATAAAACATCTGCCCTGGGTACAGACTGGATCAGACTGACTCTGGTAACCTGGGGATGAGACAGTGAAACAGACAGACAGTGTAAGCATAGACTCCACTTTTATTATTCTGCTGCTCTAAAGCAGTGCAATAGTTTGCACAATAATCCAGGATTTGTGTAAGGGGATTAAGGGAATGAGTTATGTGTATGCTTGGTTAAAAAGTTGTGTCTTTAGAGTTAAAATAACAGAAATGTCTGCTCCCCAAACACTGCTAGAAAGGCTATTTTAGAGTTTAGGAGCTAAATACTAAAAGTATCTACAGCGCCTGTTTCTGTGTGCTCTGTGTTTTTGTGTTCTGTTTCTGTTGTGTCTAAGGATTCGTATTTTGATGTTAGTTTTCATTTTTTTTACATTGTTTCTGTTTCCTTCTCCTGTGTTTTGTTCCTGGCTGCATCCAAAATCGCATACTTCCCTACTATATACTCGGGGGAAGACAGTATGTCCGAATTCACAGTACTAATAAAAGAGTAGGCAAAAAGTTCCCGGATGACCTGATTCTTCCGGCGAGATTCTGAAGTGTGCATAAGATGGACACTTTACTATCCCATGAGGCCACATTACATGATAATGACAACATGGCGAATATAGTACGTCCAGATTACATTCTACTCACATTCATATATAGTAGATATTTGTTTAGCGGTTGTGGAGTAATAACTTACGTGATTTCGGGTGCAGCCACTGTTTCTACTAGTGTACATTGTTTCTGATTATGTTCACCTGTGTCTTGTTTAGTTGCTCGTTATCTCAGTCCTGTGTTTCAGTTCATCTTTGTCAGTTTGCTAGATGTTGTGTTCTTAAGTATTTGATAGTGCTGTAGCCGAGAAACAACAGTACATCCATCAAAAGCCAGATTATATTCTATGGTCTCGCGTTTGGAGGTTTTTGGTACAATAATTAAATTCAGCATGAAACGGAAATTACGATTTTGTCAGTTTTCTACAGTATTGAACACAATACATTAGGGTTGTTTAGAAAAGTAAGCAGACCTTGCAACTTTTAAAGCCTTTCTGTAACTAGTAATGCTATCCTATAACTGTAGTTTGGTATTCCTGGTCCACGTGCGCTCCATGTTCTTGGTTGCCCTCTTGAGAGTATATGTGTGCTAGTTATATCATGGTGCTGGGATTTTCTCCTTAATCTTCTTTAGCCATAGAGGAGACACAGAAACCAGGGTGCTAGAGAGGAAAGAAACCATGGTTACTGTTGCAGTGTCAAGTTGGTATGCTGTGTAGAGTTGAGACAGATCTGTAAGATTATTAATAAAGTGGTCAAAGGAATAGTTCTACCAGATTAGTAATATGGTGTGTATTCTCACAAATGAACAACTTTAATTAATTTTAAAGCCTAAAAACAATCACCAGAAGTAAAAGCTAAAAAAAATAATAATAACCCTGCCAGAAGTAAAAGGCTGCACCACTGTCGCATGACTTTAATGTCACCAACTCTTTATTCTTACATCTACAAGTCAGAAAGTTTGAGTTGGAATAATTGGCAAGAGCACGATGATAACCACTATGAGGCTTTGAAAGCGACTAGTGAGTTGACGAGTTTATCTTTTCGGCAATCTCTGTAGTCCTGTTTAAACACTTGTTAACAAACGCATTTTTCAAAACGCGTAAAAGCTTAAATAATCACGAGTGGGGTGTTACTGATGTGTTTTACGTCACAGGTTGAAACATGAAAATGTCTTGACATTCACCAACCTTCCCGTCTTACAGTTAAAAAAGTCTTTAAGTAATGTAACGGATGGCTCTCGGGCAAATCAAGTGCAATAAAATAAATAAAAACAAGTTTGGTGTGAGCGAAATCCATGGAGAGAAAAAACTGGACTGTGAATTGTTCATGAACGCATCACTACTTTTTTGGGGGGGAAGTGAAGGGTCAAGTAATTGGTCGAATGATTTGTGTGGTAAACCCAGTAACATAAGGCCACAAGTGCTGTTGATTGAGCTTAAATTGTAGCAAACTCTGAATATTCCTTTAAAAACATCTTGCCTGATCTGATGCACAAATGCATACAGCTTTCATACACAAATGTTCATTGGATAATTTATGTCAGTACTTAACTGAAGACTTTTCTTCTACCCACATGCTTCTCTTTCTCAGGTGAAAAAGTCTGGAGGTTCACAAATTACCGCCTTGACTATCGATACCCCAAACCACTAAAAAGAATCCCTGCCAACATCGACGCTGCATTGTATTATGAGAAGAACAAGAAAATTTTCTTCTTTAAGGTATAGTGAGATTTTAACATTATTATACACAACCTATGCTTAAGAGAAAAAAAATCATGATAAATTCATGAGTCCTCAAAAAGCTCTATCTATATAAACAAACTCTTTTTGTTGATAGATGTTTTCTGTTTAGCTCAGCTCCATTCATGAGAACTTATGCTGTGTCTCAAATCATTTACTCCTTCACCAATATTTCTTAGCAAATGGGGGTTATGTGCAACAAACTTCCGTATTCTATAAAACAGGTTGCTTGCGTCGCATCCGGTTCAGGTCTGTGCTGCATTAAAGCTGCACTCCGTAACTTTTTTGGGTTAAAACTTATCCAAAATACATTTTTGATCAAGTACATAACCAGCCAGTGTTCAAAACTATCTGCTTGCTTTAGCTCGAATAATCTGTGACAGGATCCACACCGGCGTGGCGACTGACAGCCGCACATTCTCCTCAAAACATTGGATTCAACCCTGCTTGTGGCCATGCCGAGGCACAACCCACGTAAAGTTGATAATTCCGCGAATAACTGCAATTGCAGATTTCGAACAGAGATGGCGACAAAGAGGAAAAACGTCTCGGTTAAGTATGGTAACCCTCGTTCTCTGAGGAGGGAACGGAGACATCTCGTCGGAGGAGTTTCCAACGAATTGGGATCACGCTAGGGAGACCAATTGCCTTCGAGTGAATTAAAACGAGCGCCAGCGCCCATGAGGAGGCGACACTCCTAGTGGAGTGTGCCGTCAACCTAGGTGGGCAAGGCACGTCCTGGGACTCATAAGCCCGGACGATAGCATCCACTAACCAGTGGGCTAACCTCCGCTTGGAGACAGCCTTCCCCTTCTGCTGGCCTCCGTAACAGACGAAGAGCTGATCTGAGGTCCTGAAGCTTTGCGTTCTGTCCACGTAACAACGCAGAGGGCGGATGGGACAGAGGAAAGCTAGGGCTGGGTCTGCCTCCTCCGGGGGCAGCGCTTGCAGGTTCACTACCTGATCTACAAACGGAGTGGTAGGAACCTTGGGCACATATCCGAACCGGGGTCTCAGAACAACGTGAGAAAGACCCGGTCCGAACTCCATTCACGATTGGTCGACCGAAAATGCCTGCAGATCCCGTACCCTCTTAAAAGAAGCCAAAGCCAACAGGAGAGCTGTCTTCATAGACAGGATATTTAACTCAACCGTCAGTAAGGGCTCAAAAGGGGGCCTCTGGAGTGCTCTGAGCACTAGAGTTAAGTCCCAAGAGGGTACGGGGTGCGGATTACGAGGCGGATTTAGTCTCCTAGCACCCTTAAGGAATCTGATGACCAGGACCTAATGACTTCAAATTCAAATTCAAATTAGCTTTATTGGCATGAATGTGTAAAATAGCACAATATTGCCAAAGCAATAGACATACAAACATATAGATAAATAAAAGTGAACAATAAAAAATAAAATAAAACAATTACTAAAATATCAAACAATCAAAATAATAATTATTTGAAAATGTGTACAATTATTTATCCATCTGAGGTTCCACTGGTTGTCCTCATTTCATGGCATAAGGAGACATATTTTGCAGCAATTATTTCACATTTGGTCATTTCTCCTAGTAAATATGGGATTTTCTGTGTGTCTGATATGGATTCGAATTCAGGATATATTTGGGAAATGTTTGGGAAGTGTTTTTGTCTTAGTGTATTATATTTGGGGCATGAGGTTAGAAAGTGCAGCTCTGTCTCTACCTGTCCCCGGTCACACTGGGAGCAGAGTCTCTCCTCTTGTGAGAGCCAGCTCTGTCTGTGCCGACCCGTCTCTATGGCCAGACTGTGTTCACTCAGTCTGTATGTTGTCAACATTTTTCTTAGTTTAGGACATTTTATTGTACTCAGGTAATTTGCCAGTGTGAATTCTCTTTTTAGGGTCAGATAAAATTGTAATTTACTTTGTGTTTTGGTCGTTTCTTTCCAGTATTCAGTATATTTTTCTTTCTGCTTGTTGATAATTTGGTTTGGTCTGCTTGAGTTGGCGTTGCTGTCCTGAGGCTGTTGGGGACTTGTTACTGCAGAGAGCCTCAGCACCAGCTGGCTGAGGGGACTCTTTTCTGCTTGCAGCTCCTGGTATGTTAGGGCTTTGTGATGATATGTCTAGGGATTAACTGATTTTAAGTGATTGTAAAATTTAATTGATCTTTTCTGTATCTTTAGTAAGAGGGGGTATTGGCCGAGCTCTGCTCTGCACAGGTTATTCGGTGTTTTTCTCTGCACCTGTAGGATGCTCTTACAGCATGAACTTACTTCATTTTTAAGTTTTGGCCCCCAAATTTCACTACCATATAGAATTATTGGTTCTAGTACAAATTGGAAAATTTTAAGCCAGATTTCAATTGGAATATAGATTTTAATGTTTCTTTTTATTGCATAGAAAGCTCTCCTTGCTTTGTCCCTCAGATCTTTCACAGCCATGTTGAGGTTCCCTGTGTATGTAATGTCGAGGCCAAGGTAAGTGTAGTTTTTTGTGTGTTGTAATTTAGTGGTGTCCAAATAGATGACTTACCTTCTACTGCATCGTGATGAGCGGCTATTGCGGCAACGGCAGGGTGGAGGGAGACAGCCTTCACTCCAACCCATCTTGCAGGAAGGAAAGCACGATTCTGATCGGGCGAGTTCGGGGGTCTTCCCGGCGGGAAGAACACCAATCGATCAACAGGTTCCACTTCAACGCATAGAGGCGCCTCGTAGAGGGGGCTCTAGCGGAATTGATGGTGTCTACCACAGCCTGTGGTAGGCCACCTAGAACCTCCGCGTCCCGTCCAGGGACCAGACATGGAGTCTCCAGAGGTCTGGACGCGGGTGCCATAGAGTGCCCCGTCTCTGAGAAAGCAGGTCCTTCCTCAGAGGAATGGGCCAAGGAGGTGCTGTCGCGAGGAGCATAAGTTCTGGGAACCAGGTACGGTTGGGCTAGTACGGCGCAACTAGCAAGACCTGCTCCTCGTCCTCCCTGACTTTGCACAGTGTCTGTGCGAGAAGGCTCACTGGGGCCAGCTGTGCGCCAGTGCATCCGTGCTGAGGGGTCCTCCGGTCAGGGAATAAAACAACTGGCAATGGGTCATGTCCGGAGAGGCAAACAGATCTATCTTAGCAGCTCCGAAGATTCCCCACATCAGCTGAACCGCCTGGGGATGGAGTCGCCATTCTCCCGGAAGGGGCGGCTGCCGTGAGAGTTCGTCGGCTGCACGGTTGAGCACACCAGGGATGTGAATGGCCCGAAGTGACCTAGGAGGAGATGGCGGGCGAGTCGCAACATACGACGGGAGCGTAGACCACCTTGATGGTTGATATAGGCAACGGTCGCAGTGCTGTCCGTACGGACCAGTACATGCTTGTGCAGAAGCAGCCCCTTGAGGCGACACAAGGCCAAGCGTACTGCTTGCAACTCTAGGCAGTTGATGTGCCAATGCAGCTGAGGCCCCGTCCACAGACCTGAAACTGCATGCCCGTTGTACGTGGCCCCCCATCCGTTGGCAGAGGCATCTGTGAAAGCCACAGCATGCCTGGACACCTGGACTAAGGGCACTCCGGCCCATAGAAAAGCAGGGTCCGACCAAGGACTGAAGGTTTGGCGACAGTGCGGGGTAATGTTGACCCGGAACGTTTTGCTCTGCCGCGCCCATCTCGGGACTCGATTGTGAAGCCAGCGCTGAAGCAGTCTCATATGCAGCAGGCTGAGCTCAGCGCTGAAGCAGTCTCATATACTGCGGGTGCCATATGCCCCAGGAGCCTCTGAAACTGTTTCAGTGGGACCGCTGACCTGCCTTGAAAAGACTTGAGGCAGTTGAGCACTGACTGGACGTGCTCCTCGGTGAGGCACGCAGTCTGACCGACCGAGTCCAACTCCATACCGAGATAAGAGATCCTCTGCATGGGGCAGAGTTTGCTCTTGTCCCAGTTGACCTGAAGCCCCAAACGGCTGAGGTGCTGAAGTACCAAGTCCCTGTGTTCGCACAACAGATCTCGCGAGTGAGCTATTATAAGCCAGTCGTCGAGATAGTTGAGAATGCGAATGCCATGTTCTCTCATGGGGACAATGGCCGCCTCCACGACTTTCGTGAAGACGTGGGGCGACAGGGCCAAGCCGAAGGGTAGGACCTTATACTGATATGCCCAACCCTCGAACATAAACCGAAGAAACGGTTTGTGTCGAGGAAGAATCGAGACATGAAGTACGCATCCTTCAGGTCGATCCCTGCAAACCAATCCTGGGGACGGATGCATTCGAAGATCCGCTTCTGCATGAGCATTCTGAACGAGAGCTTGTGTAGTGCCTAATTCAAAACTTGCAGGTCCAGTATCGGCCGTAACCCACCGCTTTTCTTGGGTACAATGAAGTAAGGGCTGTAGAAACCAGACCTCATCTCGGCTGGAGGGACCGGCTCGATCGCGTCCTTCGCCAGCAGAGCGTCGATCTCTTTCCTCCTTCCATCGACACTCCGCACTTGGGTGAAGCGGATGCCCCTGTACTTGGGGAGCCGGCGGGCAAACTGAATTGCATAGCCGAGCCGGATGGTACGGATGAGCCAGCGGGAAGGCCTCGGAAGCGCTAGCCAGGCTTCGAGAGACCGTACCAACGAGCTGACCCGGACTACCGGCGTACCCGCGGAGGGGCAGCGAGGTGGAAGGCAGGGACCGGACTCCGGAGGCATTGCTGCGGCCGAGAGAGGGGTCTGGGTGTGCGGGGCAACACCTACCTGCTTCCACCGGGGGGCAGGCAGCAGGGAAGGCCCGTCTTTCTGAGGCGTTCGGCTGCTGGCTGTCCCGAGGCGAAGGAAGGAGGGGAAACGAGGAGCGAGGCCCGAGGGCGTCGAGTCCAGGTTTCCGCGCCTCCTTACTCAGAGGGAGACGAGAGTGACAAGGCCGTGGCGACGTCACTGTACTCTGAGCAATGGAAGAGGGGGAAAGGAGTGGCAAGGCATGGGAGCGTCGCTCACTGCAGTCCGCACCTCTTGTGACCCAGAAATGGATAAATAGCTCTTATTGAAAATGTGGGTACCACTGGACTCCGGGGAGCCAGCGGCGGAACAGAAAATGAACAAAGATTCTCCACCCGGCCCTCCTCCGGGGGAGGGAGAGGTGAGGACACCATCTCCCGGAGAGCAACTTCCTCCAACTCTGTGTCGCCCGTCTCAGGGCTGCTGAGACAGGTGGCGCCGTCTTCCTGCGAAAGCTAGACGTCACAGTAGAGCTGGCTGTGACATCTTTTCCACAGGGGACTGACACCCTTGGCGACAAACAGACTAAGGAGAAACCACAAGTGACTCGGTAGCACATCGGGTCAAGATCTTGGTCTCCTCAACCTGTGTGGATTTACTTTTATCATGGATGGATGCTTTTTTATGGACTTCAAAACAGAAACAACCATTCACTGCCATTATCAAGCTTGGAAGAGCCAGGACATGTATTAATATAACTCAGATTGTATTCGTCTGAAAGAAGAAAGTCATATACACCTAGGATGACTTGAGGGTGAGTAAATCATTGGCAATGGGCTCTATGCACGGCGGTATTTCCGGTGAAGGTCTAAGGATGCTGGATTACTTCCGCCGATCGTAGAGTCCAATGCTATACCGAGAATTTATATTGGTTTGTATACTCTTATTGCTACACTAAAGAAACGTTAGTCACAAAAACAGACAAAACAGACACTCCTCATTTTGTTTATGCTTCTGTGTTTATTATATTAAATAAACATAACTATATATAAAATTACATCTAAACGTATTATAGTTTCGTTTCAAAGACGAGAGGACAGTAAATTTTGAAGACTCTGCCCATAATCCCGTTTTCCTCGGTTTTCCTCCGCTTTAAATCTCCCCAACCGGAAACGCACGAGCATCCTTGCGTCAAACGCGGAAGTTATGCGTGCATATAGCCCATTTTTTTTTACTTTTGGGTGAACTATCCATTTAGGTCCAAGTAGGGTGACCCATTTGCCATTTTAGGTTTCCCATTGCGGTCGATACGCGCTGTCGATGCACATATATTATATTATATTATATTATATATGTATTCATTCGTGAAGTTTTGAATTCTAAAATTCATTAAATCCTTGTTTTTCAGGGATCAGGCTATTGGCAGTGGGATGAGATGGTTTATAATGATCTCAGCATTTATCCCAAACCCATTTCCCGTCTGTTTACTGGCATCCCATCAAATCCTGATGCAGCTTTCACATGGACCAATGGGAAGATGTATTTCTTCAAGGACGACAGGTACTGGCGCGTGAATGAACAACTCTCTGCTGATTCTGGATATCCACTCAGCAAGCGTGTTCGCTGGATGAGATGTAGCTAATCTGCCCCGTCGTGTGCAAGTGTGCCACTTTTGGCCTTCAGCTTCGCACACACACCCACAGCCCCTTTTCTCTGTGTACGGATATGATGTAAATGATGTATGTATGCAATTTCCCACGTAGTCCATCCTAACAGCTCTAAAATATAATATTTAATGTAGGTTTATGAAAGTGTATTTGGGCAAAGACATGGTTTGGAAGATGAATTTGCACTCTCTTATTAATGACATTTTGTTATTTATTATCAAAAAAGTTAGATAGTGTAGTTTTAACTATCATTTTTGTCTGATGCTTTCATTTCTTTGATGAAGACACAAGATACTGCATGTAGTATGAAGTCTGTTAAAGCTACAGTCACACTGAGAATACACTAAGAGAGTTGAATTCATTTAAGCATCTACATTGTGCATCATGCACATTATATTTTATGTACTGTATGTCTAAAAGAAGGCCTAAATGGTTTCATTTCAAACATACATGCATTTAAAAGACGTCTAAACACAGCCCTGACGTCTAGGCTAAAACAAGGCAAAATCAGTGAAAATTGAATAGACGTCTAACCATAGCCCAAGATTAGACTAGTCTAGAACATGAACATGTCAAAGAAATTAAATCAAACACCTTGTAATCACTGTTGACTTTGCTTACATGATGGAATATCAAACATCTTGCAAGTTATTTTGGCAAAAAAAAAAAAAAGATTTTTTATTTAGTACAGTCCTGAATAAGATATTTTATATAAAAGATGTTTAAATTTATGAAAATTATGGGGGGTGAAAACTTTTGAACAGGATGATCAGGGTAAATTGTACTTGTTTTGTCTTCTGGGAAACATGTAACTATGTTCTATAGCTTCTGCAGGGCCGTACTAAATGAAAAAATATTATCTTTAAACAAAATGTACACATCATCTACATCTTGTTCAAATGTTTTCACCCCCACCTCTTTGTTCATGTATTCAATTGAGTTGATTGGAAATATGTTCTGTTTTCTTTGTATAGTTGTAGTTTAATTTTGTTATTTAATACACCACCCACAGCAATTTGTTATTGTTGCGAGTTCCTTGAATAGATATTTTTATATTGCAACTCCCCATTTTAACACAACAAAAATCCAATATATTGTGTAAAAAGATTTGATTGTGTTGTGTTGTGTTGTGTTGTGTTGAAGCAGCAGCACAAGGGACAATTTGTACAGTTTGATTTGTTACATGTCTGCTGAAATAACTAAATGAATCAAATACAATCAACTAGCAAATCAACTTGGATGGATAGTTCCTCAACAGGCCTTTATTACTCACGGTCTGTTGGGATTAATTCTCATCTTTGCTATTCAGTTACAAAAAACTTTCGTAGTCCATAAACTTTCTAAGGGGAAATTAAAGATTTGCTATTGGGTACTTTTTTTATATTAGTTGGACTGCTGCCCTCTTTAAAAATCTTTGAAATAATTTAATAAAACAGAACAATTCCCTGCATGCATTTCTACATGTCACTTGTACAGAATATAATATAATATGTGGTTATTAGGAATAAACTAAACAAAACCATTTTGTATGCAGAAAAGATTGCATCTTTGTATACATTGTATATTATATTTAGTATATACTAAGATGCTTTATAAAAAAAAACTGCCAATAATAATTTATCACTAGGTCGACTTCATCTATTCACACACACTCACTGTATAGTTATAAATATCCCACTTTTTTTTCTCACAAATTTGAGTTTATATCTCACAATTCTAACTTTATTTCTCACAATTCCAAGTTTATCTTTCACAATTTAACTTTTATACCTCACAATTTTGAAATAATTTTCCCCCTCACAATTCCAAGTTTATATCTCACAATTTTAATTTTATACCTCACAATTTTAACTTTTTTGTCACAGTTTCGAGTTTATATCTCACAATTCTGACTTTATTTCTCCCAATTCCAAGTTAATATCTCACAATTCTGACTTTTTTCTCACAATTCCAAGTTTATATCTCAAAATTTTGAATTTTTATCTCACAATTTTGAGTTTATATCTCACAATTCTGCTTTTTTCTCACAATTTTGAGTTTATATCTCACAATTCTGCTTTTTTCTCACAATTTTGAGTTTATATCTCACAATTCTGACTTTTTTCTCACAATTCCAAGTTTATATCTCACAATTTAGACTTTTTATCTCACAATTTAGACTTTATCTCACAATTTCTAGTTTATATCTCACAATTCTCACTTTTTTCTCACAATTCCAAGTTTACGTCTCACAATTTTGACTTTTTATCTCACAATTCTAAAAAATTTCTCACAATTCTGACCTTATTTTTTACAATTCTGACTTTTTCCCTCACAATTTTGAGTTTATATCTCACAATTCTAACTTTATCTGTTGCAATTACAAGTTTATAACTTGCAATTGTGAGAAAGTCATATTTATAAGATAAAAGTCACACTTTTTTCTATTATTCGGTGGCAGAAACAAGCCTCCATACTGCTCAGATAACATATTTCAATTGTATATTATTGGTCCTGTATACTTGCACACCTTCTACACAAGTGTCCTGAAGCAAACCACAGCTTAGACAAATATGTCAGTGCTTCTCTTTCCCCTTTGCGTCCTATGATAGCCCTGTGTATGTGAAACGGTGACCATAAAGTGTTGATTGACTCTTTGTGTGCTTTATGAAAATTACACCCACAAATGATGATCCATTATCTATGACATGCATTTGAAACTCGGTCCTTTCTCTAATGACTTCACATGAATGTTTATGTTGCTCAAACACACTGTGTGGGCTGTTCTTCACACCGAGCTGTCAGTGTCTGAAGCAGCCTGAGTGCTCATGGGAGAAAAAGAGAAAACTTCACAAACCTGTTTGATCAATCTGAACTCCTCACACATCCACTACTGAAATGTGCTAAAGTTTTGAGTGCAAGATTATGTATAACAAGATGCCACCAGCATCCATTACAAATGGTTGTAATTTATCACTAGGTTGTCTTCATCTTTTCAAACACTCAAAGATCCAAGACTTTTTCTATGTACACAAAAGGCCTATTTCTCTCAAATATTGGTCACAAATCTGTCTAAATCTGTGTTAACGAGCACTTCTCCTTTGCCGAGATAATCCATCCACCTCACAGGTGTGGCATATCAAGATGCTGATTAGACAGCATGATTATTGCACAGGTGTGCCTTAGGGCTGTCCACAATAAAAGGCCACTCTAAAATGTGAAGCTTTACTGTATTGGGGGGGGGGGGGGGGGGGGGTCCGAAAACAAGTCAGTATCTGGTGTGACCAGTATCAGGTTGGAGGATTTTCTTTTCAGACACAAAATGTATGTATTTAAATGAATCATGCAAGGTGATTTACTAAGGTTTGTGGTAGTTAATTTGCTGGTATTATTATTATTATTTTTGAGGTCCTACACTTCCTTATGAAAAAGAAGTTTATTCAAGTGTGCTATTTGTATACTTAATTTAAACTAAAAATAATAAAGTATACTTTGTCTACTTTTTATGCACTTCTCCGAAATATAGGCTACTTTGTATAGGCTACTTCTCAGAAATATATTAAAATTGCGCTTAAGTATACTTGACTTGTACTGACAGAAAAGCGTAAGTATATTTGGCATACTTAAAAGTATAATTAAGTATTCTAAGTGTACTTGGCTTGTAGTTGTGCTTACTCTTTTGATTGAGTAGCCTAGTAAACACTTTTAAATGCCAAAAAGTGGGCAAATTTAGTCCCAAGCAGTATTGAAATAGTACACTTACGAGTCCAGTACAGTACATTGATATTAATATGCTTAGGCCTACTACATAAAGTATACTTAAAATATACTTGAACATTGCTTAAGTATACTTCATTAAATGACAATGAAGTAGCCTATACTTGTTTTTCGTAAGGGCTGTTTCCATTAAAGCTGCCGTCAGCAAACATTTTTTGATCATATTCAGTGAAATCGACACTATAATCCGACAGAACAACCTAAATAAAGTGGTTTTAGGAAAAAAAACGAGCTTCTAACTCCACCTGGAGCGTGTTATTTGTTTTGCAAATATCCACAGCTCCCGGATCATAATGTCCAATCAGCGCAGGGGGGTGTGAGATCTGACTGTCAATCACAGATCGGGCACGCGCCACCCCTCGCGCACGTTACAATCACATGCACACGCCTGCGGAAGTTCGCGCAGTAACGAAGAGTGATGGCGGAAAATCAAGTAAGCTCATTTAGAGTATAAATGTTAGCAATTGCAATCTATTGGTAGATTAGCCAGGACAGCATACCTCCAAATAATCCATGGTGTTGATGGATGCTGATGAGACGGGCGCGTTCACTGAAAATCTGGTGCACACGCACTGACGAGCATGAACTCGGTCAGGTGGGAGAGTATTCGTTGATAGTGGGGGAGGGGCATGAGAATTGTAAACATTCAAAAGTCCCCTCAATCTACCAGACTTGCCGACTTCAGCTTTAAGAAACTTTGAAATCCATTAAAACTTTGCATTGCACAAATGTTGCTTCATAATTTTAACATTTAATTTAATATTCAGCAATATTATTGATCTGCCTGCATTGACACCATTATATGAGAACTAAATTAATAACTTTTTTACAACAAAAATGAAACATCACTGAACTTACTTAAGCTGGACTGTGACGCTATTTTCTTCTGGAAACAAACTTTGTTGCATTATTTTCCTGTTATCTCAGTAAAGCTGCTTTGAAACAATCTGTATTGTAAAAAGCACTATATAAATAAAGGTGACTTGACTTTATAGTAATAGAAGGTTCTTTAGATATTCTTCAATCGAAGAAAATTTTTTCTCTGTCATCGCTGTGAAAACCCCCTTTGGAGCCTTTATTTCAATGGTGTATCTGTTCATCTGGGATTCCCGGACCTGGTCAGTCTATGGTTCCGGTTTGTTCAGGATCATAAAATTATTAATACCATGTGTACATGTTTTCTTTCCACATTGTTCTTTTCACTCATTCAGTAGCTAACAATGCTAAATTATTTCAAATGAGCCTTGTTGCTGAATTAAAGATGGTACAGAAACATTACAATTAAATACTCTTACATTATGGAACAGACATAAAATCCATAATGTTTGTAATAGAATTTCTCAAGTGTATTTTCAGCATGTGTGATGAAGATATGACACGACCATGAGGTTTTGTGCTGGAGCCTAGAACAGAGTTTGCTGCCAATTCAGTAAATATTCTCACTGTACCAAATGACTGAATCTTTACTGTAGGTGACCTATTTACATATTATTGACATAACTGTACAGTTGTAAAATTGAGAAAGTTAAGAACCAAAAAGGAAAAATTAGTTTCAATGATTTTTCAACTATAGACAAACATCATTCAAATGTTAGTGAAGAAGGGCACATGGAGTTTTTAGACGGCATTTTTCAATATTCTGTGTCAAAACTTTGGTGTCCATGCAAAACTGCTCTTGTTTAACCAGTGCTAAAAGTGCAACATCTCCGAGAGCAGCTTACATTAAACAAGAGCCACAGTGTTTGATTTCATCCATCATGATGCAGTCACTGTCACACAACTGGCTTCACGAAGGGCCGTAAAGAACCATATATAGAAATACGTATATAAATGACAATGTGTTATCATCATCATAACAAGAAATGCTGTTTTTAAATCAGTGGTTCAAAGGTTAAAGGGGACCTACTATGCAAAATTACATGATGTTTAAACATAAATGTGTGTCGGCAGTGTGTACACAAACACCCTAATGGTAAAAATCCACCCACTCCTATTTTTTTAATCCCCATAAATCATGAGCAGTGTCTCAGAACAAGCTATTTTCAGATTCTAGAATATGTGAGTCACAAATGCTTAAGCCCCGCCCATGACTGCGGACGGACTCGGCTCATTAGCATAGACCCGCCCACAGCGAGCAGAACACAGTCCGCCATGTTTATCTCCTCGCCAGAGCATTTAACAGCAGCATTCAAGTAAGAAATGTATTCTTATTATTGATTTTCTGTTTTTATTTAGTTGTTTGATTCATATTAACAGCATATTTGGCAGTACTGTATAATATGCTGCTTTCACTTTAATACACAGATCTATTATAACGAAACACATTTCTATCCCTGCTGTTTACGTTCACAGACATAACCGACTGTGTTTCTGTGAACTTTGTGTGTTTTTGACAGTTTAAGCACAATAATGCCGTCTGACATCCAGCTTTCTGTGCGTGTGCGCTCAGAAAACCATATATCAGAAGTTTAACAACTTTCAATTTGTTTTGAATTGGGACTGGGGAATCCCCGGGTGAACATGAGTATTGCGTGCAAAACAGTAAAAAAAACTCGAGACAGATATGGAGTCAGCAAATTACAAACACAAAAGTGGCTTTCAAAAGCGCAAACGAAAAGAGGAATTTGACAAATTAATTAATAAATTACCAAAAATAGGAAGCTTGTTTAAAAAGATGACACAGGAGGGGGAGATCGAGATTAAGATGGAGCAAGAGAGTGAAGCGAATTGCCATACTGTCAATTGAGAATGCCTGTGCGCGCCATCTAGATCTTAAGGATTTAATTCGACAACTTTGCACAGAGGAAACCCGAAAAATGCCGCTATAATGTAAGTGAGCATCTTTTTTATGTATTCGGACCTAGGCCTATGTGTGTGTAGTCATAGCAGTGAGTAACAATGTGTCAGGGTGCGCCGTCACCAGCAGTGTTTTTTTTGGGGGGTTTTTGCGCGTAGGCTACTCCTGATTTTGTCAGTCATCTCATCTCTTATATGCTACCTGTGTCTCTATGATCCTATCCTGTCCTATTCATGTTAGCCTGCTCGTGGACATTGCGTCATCACGTGTTGTAGTAGGGGGGCCCGCCTTGATAATCCTGCATAAGGGCCCAGTGTTGGCTCGTTACGCCACTGCTCCAGCGGCTTTCGTTACGACTGTTAACATTAACATTACGAATGTTAATACAGTACCGGTCATCCATGAATATGATTTCTGCCCGAGCCCATCGTATTCTCCAACGGTTGTAGCGTTGACGACAACGAGTCCCATGACTCCGCCAAATCAAGGTCATCAAACTACGCCTTTGTTTTGAATAAACGACCTCTAGTGGTGAAAAACTACATAGTGTGCCTTTAATTATATAATAATAATTATACATTGAGACAATAACATCCATTTGCTTAAAGCTGCAGTTGGCAAGTCTGGCAGATTGAGTGGATTTAGGAAAATTTTGAATGTTTACAACTCTCATGCCCCTCCCCCACTCTCAACGGATACCCTCCCACCGAGAGTTCATGCTCGTCAGTGCGTGTGCACCAGATTTTCAGTGAACGCGCCCGTCTCATCAGCATCCATCAACACCATGGTGTATTTGGAGGTATGCTGTCCTGGCTAATCTACCGATAGATTGCAATTGCTAACGTCATTTATACTCTAAATGAGCTTACTTGATTTTCCGCCATCACTCTTCGTTACTGCGCGAACTTCAGGCGTGTGCATGCCATGTGATTGTAACGTGCGCGAGGGGTGGCGTGTGCCCGATCTGTGATTGACAGTCAGATCTCACCGCAACCCTAGGTGCAGTTAGAAGCTCGGGTTTTTTTCTAAAACCACTTTATTTATGTTGTTCTGTCAGATTATAGTGTCGATTTCACTGAATATGATCAAAAATATGTTGGCGACGGCAGCTTTAAACAGCATGAAAATATTGTGAAAAATGCAATAAATATAAAATGCGATCTTGTCTGCATTCAAACACTCACCGAATGTTCATAACGGCCTAAAGAAACACCTAACGTAAAACAGAAGATACTTTACAAACATTAAAAACCGAATATGCATTTTAATTCATGGTTATTTTGTACCGCTCCGTTATTACCTTAACAAACCAGCGCTTTTTTCGATTAACTTGCATGCAAGCAATTAAAGTTTCCGCTTACAAAAAGATCATATGTGGCATACAGCTTGTTAACAGATCACGTCTTAACCAAACTTTGTCAACTGAGAGAGGCCTATTCAGTAAAAGCACATTTCTAATACAGGTTCATTACTTTAGAAGGTAAAAATGCATATAGTAGGCTACATTTCTAGTTCTTAAAGATCTAGTTCTCAGAATAAACTTTTTATTCTAGAAAGATAAAACTTCATGATGTTCTCTGTGGTTTTAAGAGGAAAGTGTATCATGAATTTATGCTTTAGTGTTTAGAGGTTTTTCCTCCTGGCTAAAAACATCAAAATGAGAATCTGAAAGCGCTCCTTGCCATCAGAACAACATCCTTTTGTAACAAACATGGTCCTCAGATCAGGTGCTTTTGCTCTCAGGTCTTTCACTCTTTCACTCAAACAAGCAGCACAAAAAAGAAACTTCAAAATGAAACTGGTACGGATTTCCCATAGGAGGAATAGCTTCACTAAATTATTTATTTTACAGTTTGATCAATATCATTCATTTCCTTACATCCAAAATATCTATTGAGTTCTCCAAAGTAATACATGACTTGTATTAAACTGATCCAACTGGCATTTTAAACCGAGAAGAGACTGCATTTTGAATGAAACTTTATTCTGTATGGTTTTGATCCATTGTTTATTGCTGTTTAAATGGTTCTTCGATAAAGGTCGATAAAATCTTTCACCTTTATAATTTGCCTGTTGGAAAAGTTGTTTCAGGAAACAGAACGTGGAAACAATATGTAACACAATGTAAATAAAAAGTAATACAAGTTTAATTGAAGTTGCAGAGAGTACTGTTTTATGAAACTATCAAAACAAATCAGGTTTAAAATAATTATTAGAATAATATATTATCTAAAAAAAAAAAAAAAGAGAGATATTGGCAGTCTAAACTGTTTCATTTGGTCTAAGGCTGGTACAGAGCATTCAGTGTGATATGTACTTATGGCATATATGAATAATACAATTCCACACTGGCAAAACCTTGGAATGTCATCTCCAAACTACGAGCATATGAGGAAACACCACATCTCGTCTATGCAAATCTACAAATCTTCCAGGTCATTTTAATGGAATGCTTACTATTAGCACAACAGTCTTCCAGTGGAATGCAAAGGTTGCAGTGGATAAACTTCAGATTAAAATAAACCAGAATGATTTGAGAAAAGGTACAACTGATCATGGATTATAAAACAGAACAATTTCCGAACAGCTGGGAAATAGTTCTCAGAAGAAGCTGACCCAACACTCAGTCCAGTGGTGCTGAAGTACTGGTTCAGAGGCGTAAGGGCGGCACTGGCATGGTGACATCACGGAAGAACCGATGAACAAGGGCGTTCTTCGCTGAGATCCTCTTGTTAGGATCATAGATCATCATTTGCTGTAAAAAAAAGAAAATAAAAAGATTTTAAAAACGGGAAATATTCCAATCAAATTGACATTGCTTTCAGGTTAAAGTTGTGGACTATGGGTAGAGGTGTAAAAGGCTATCGCGATTCCGATTCTTCTTACGATTTCTATTACAGGAAGCTAAAAATATTTAGTCAAACATTTATATCAAACATGGTTATTCTGTCTTTTGCAGCCGTGCTCAAAAATCAGCAGCCTCAAAAACACTAACATTTTAACAAAAATACCACAGCAAGAACAACTGGACTAAATAATATACATTTCAAACATTATTAAAGTAATAAAATAAGAACAAATTATCAAATTAGCAATAGCACAGATAAATACAACTGAACAGTTCAGGTACTGGAATTGTAATCAAATATAAAACACTGCATCGTTTTTTTGACGCATTTGTTTCTTGAACAGATCCAAATAAAATGCGATGTCAATACCTTAAAAAATAAAGCTGGGATATTTGAATTCATTTATTGTCCATTTTGGTCATTTATTTTAAAAAGATGGGGGGGGGGGGGGGGGGGGGGAAGAAGCAGCTATTTTATGCACTTTATAAAACAAATCCATTCAAGTCCATCAAAGTTTGAGTGAGTGCCACACAATAAAGAATCAGCAACAGACTGATCTGAAATAAACTGTTCTTTTATCTTCTCTATACAACACCAGGGTTCTGCATGAGAACAGTAGATTAGGGCTGGGACACATGGCAACAACAAACAAAAAAACTCATATCAGTCCATATTGATTATTATCATGATAAATGTCAAGTTTTGTGACATAGGTTGAGTGTCAAGATGGCAGCTGGCAAATGTGGGGTGCTTGTGGTGCTTTTAGCATACATATTTATTATAAATTTTTTAGAAAACGGCCTAAAACCTGTTTTGAGGGGCATTTACATAGTTGTTATGCTCACTCAAACAAACTTTTATTTAAAAAACAATTTGGTTATGGGAAGAAAATCTTTATGGACACATTTCTCTATCCATGCTTGTATCCAGCCAAGCGCAATGATAAAAGAGATAAAGGTGGCGTCAAAAGGCAAGTGAATGGCGACCAATTTATAATTTGTATCTGCCTATTATTATCTGGAGATATACATCAATGCCCGGGCCTGATGCGGAAATTCGGATCTACGAAAACAATGTCAAGTAGGCCCTCTACATGTGCAATGGCTTGCTCTAGACATCCAAACGCCGGGGACAAACTCCTATCCATGAGTGTCGCTGAAAGGAGTGGAAGCGTGCGCGGAAGCGCCGGGAGAAGTGGCGGATATCTGGAACTGGGAGACACGATATCGAATGTGGATTCTTTCTTGTCGACGAGAGGATTACACCTGCTTCATCTCAACGTCAGAAGCCTTCTCCCGAAAATCACAGAGATCCGACACCTCAGTAAAAGCAGAAAGGTGGGAATTTTTTGTTTCACCGAGACATGGCTGGATGACTCCATTACGGACGCTGAAATTGAACTGGAGAACTATTTCGTAATTAGGAGAGATCGAAACCGCAAAGGTGGAGGGGTGTGTATATATGTAAGAGCGGACATTGGTTTTAATCATAGAATGGATTTAAATAGTGAGCAGGTTGAAGCAGTCTGGTTAGATATTTTGCTACCGAAGAGTAAGCCCATACTAATTTGCGCATGTTATAGACCGCCTGATCAAACACAGTTTTATGAACTTTTAGAGGATGTTTGTTCAAATTGCATGGACTTGGTTAAATCAGAAGTTATCATGTTGGGGGATTTCAACACTGATTTTCAGAAAAGTGATGTTTCTGGGTATAAAGCATTGATGCATTTCTGTCGCTCCTATAGTTTACATCAGCTGATTGATGAACCTACACGTGTGTGCTCTACCACCCAAACCACGATTGACCTTGTCCTAGTGTCAGATAAATCTAGGATAACTGAAAGTGGGGTTATAAAATATGGGTTGAGTAGGGCTGGGTACCGAGTTCGGTACTTTTTAGGTACCGACCGAATTGCCTCGATACTACCGAGTATCGAAACATGTCTTGTTTTTCGGTACCAAATTTCGGTACCTAAGTGGTTAATCTCGTCAACGTCAGTGAAACAATAAGCATTCAGTATGATTGGCTGTGGCGGAAAAACACTAGTTTACGAGGCTGCCCAGAGACGCGGCTCGTCGCACGTGAGGCTGTAGTGTGTGTGTGTGTGTGTTAGAAGCGCACAGAATACACTTGAGAGTAATGGTGTGTTCACACCGAACGCGAATAGAGCGTCAAATACGCGTATAGCGTATAGTTAAAATTTTTCAACTTGCGCGGAAGACGTTCACGGCAAACGCATCATTCGCGACGCCCGGCGCGAATGATGCATCTATTCACGTCTTTGCATTGACTTTGTATGTAATCTACTCGCACAAATAATTAAATTCGCTTTCGGTGTGAACAAACCATTAGTAAACACTTGTTCATTAATAAATAATTAAAATATCTCCTTGCTATTGTTTCCACATCCATAATCATTAGGCTACTTTTGCCAGTGCTTTGCGGCAAGCTTCACGTGCTGAGCGCGAGGCATATACAGTATCCCGCCCCCCAGTAGCCTATATTTAATTTAATTCACATTTATTTGTATAGCATTTTTCACAATAGATATCGTTTCAAAGCAGCTTTACAGAAAATGCATGTGTCTAAATTACAATTTAGAGTGATCTGTTATCAGAGGTGACAGTGTAATGCATTTCAATTAATTTTCATTCAGTTTCATTGTTAAACAATGCATTAAGGCAGAAACAATGAGCTCATTGAAGTAAAGAATACATGTTGTTAAATGATGAAATTTTAGCATTGGTGCTTTTTTACAAATTCAAAATATGAGTGTAAAAAAGTAAACAAACTGAAAAAGAAAAAAAATTAGGTAATGTTATATTGTTAAAACTGGTTACATAAAATTGGTATCGAAAAAAGTATCGTTCAGGAACCGGTATCGAAGTCAAGGTATCGGTATTGGTATCGGTATCGAACATTTTGTTACGATACCCAGCCCTAGGGTTGAGTGACCATTCTATTATCTTCTGTACTAGAAAGATCAAGCAAGCAGTGCTTAACTGTCATACGTCTATTAAGATCCGGTCACTGAAAAAGTATAGCAAAGAAGCGCTGAATGGCTGCTTAATTAAAATGAATTGGTCTAAGGTTTTGCTATGTAGTGATGTGGACAAAGCATGGTGCTTATTTAAAAGTATGTTTTTAGAAGCTATAGATAAAATAGCCCCATATAAGGAAATCAGAATAAAGCAGAGAACAGAACCCTGGGTAAATGATGACATCCTTGAGGCAATTAGGCTAAGAAACAGGAAGCATGGGAAATTCAGAGAAAAAAAGGATGAGCAGAGTTGGGCTGATTATAAAAAGGCAAGAAATGAAGTTAACAAATTAGTTGTCAATACTAAAAAGGCATATTTCAATGAAAAAATTGCTGAATATAGAAATGACTCAGGAAAGCTATGGAAATCCCTTAAACACCTTGGCTACAGTAAAAGGCTAAAAACAAAAAATACTAATATTACTCTGGATCTTGGCAACAATATTACATCAGAGAAGGAGATAGTGGCAGATAGCTTTAATAAGTATTTCTCATCAGTTGCCAGGAAGCTTGTGGAAAAGTTACCTGACCAGACTGGTCAATATGGGGAAAGTCATGTGCTTGATGACAAGAGGCTTGATGGCTCTAAAGCCACAGGATTAGATTCTATTCCATCTAGATTCGTGAGGGATGCCGCTGAGATCATTACTCCGAGCATTACTCATATTATAAACAGGTCGATAGAACAAGGATACTTTCCCAATGACCTTAAGAGTGCCAGAGTGATTCCAATATATAAGAAAGGGAGTAAACTAGACCCTGGTAATTATAGACCTGTTTCAATTCTTGGTTGTCTGTCAAAGATAATTGAAAGGATCATTTTTGAACAGATTGATAATTACTTAAAATCACAAAACCTACTTTATGAGTTCCAGTCTGGTTTTCGTAAATCTCATTCTACGGATTCCTGTTTACTGTTTTTAACTGACTATATAAAAAAGGAGGTAGATAATGGAAACTTCTGTGGCATGGTTATGTTAGACTTACAAAAAGCCTTTGATACAGTCGACCATTGTGTTTTAATGTATAAATTGAAAGCCATGGGTTTTAGCGAATTAGCACAAAAATGGGTGGGCTCCTATCTGGAAAATAGAACGCAAGTAGTGGACATTGGGGGGAAAATGTCTCAACCAAAAGGCATGGGCTGTGGGGTACCTCAAGGAAGCGTTTTGGGTCCACTTTTCTTTTTACTATATATAAATGATCTAAAGTCTGCTTGTTCATGCAGTCTTTTTTTATATGCAGATGATTCTGCGCTGATTGTTTCTCACAAGGATAAGAATATGATTGAAAGCATACTTAGCGCAGCGTGTGGCGCATGGTACAATGGTCTTACAGGGAACCTGAAACATAGGCTTCAGACGTCTCAAAATAAATTAATAAGGCTAATTTTAGACCTCCCCATAAGAACTCATGTGGAATCTTCCCACTTTGAAAGGGTGGGATGGTTGAAAGTCGAGGATCGAGTGTCTCAGATGCAGCTGGGTATGGTACATAAAATTGTTTATGGAGATGTTCCCAAATATTTTAGAAATTATTTTAATAGAGTAAACGAAGTTCACAGGTACTCCACTAGGGGTAGCTCAACCGATTTTGTACCCCCCAGATTTAACACTAATCTGGGCAAACAGTCTTTTCTTTATGCTGGAACTACCCTTTGGAATCAGTTACCTGGTACACTTAAGACAGTAAAAAGTATAGGAAGTTTTAAACGAGGTTTGAAAGCATGGTTTAGGTGCCAATTGTAGTTATTATAATACTATAGTCTATATTTATTATTATTTTTTCAGTATAATATGTATGAATTTGTTTAATGTATGATGAATGATTGATGTGTGATTTGCTGCCACTTGTACTTTTCCGCTGCCTTTTATAAGGGACCACAATGGAAATAAGTCTTCGGGCTTTATTGTGTTGTCCCTGACTACTTATGTATTTTATTTTAATGTATGACCCAGTTTCATACTGTTTTCATATTTTTATATTTAAGTGGTCAAAAAAAAAAAAAAGTTGAGTAAAAGTTGTAGAAGCCAGACAGTTAATTGTGGTTTTATCATCAGAACATGACAAACACTTACCGAACAGATTAACATTTCACAAATTAATCTTACATTTTGTCTCTTAGAAATGCACAATTGACAGTAGCTGGGATGTAGTTGGGATGCAGATGTAAATTCATCTTACAAAAACAGTAAATCTGTAAATTGTAACAACCTCATTTTATAGAGTAAAATGTGGTCTTCCATAGTATTTGGATCATGTAAATATGGCCGAACGCTGTTTCACTGCATTGGAATTTTAGATGACTTAAAAGTTTTGTTTTTACCAATTCATAAAATTATCTCCTTTTTATATGTTGTTAAATGTGGTTTGTGACTGAGAAATGACTATTGAGGTTATTAGGGTTAGGGCTAACGTGAGTGACGTGACTACGCAGAACACTTCTGCATGTTCACCGGGATATCACTGAAAAACTGAATATACAGGTCTTCATCAGCATTACTCCAAGCGGCTAAGCTACATTTGAGCATCATAAGGTAAGATGCAGGTTTTTGTGCTGCCGCCTTGGAGTGAAATATAGTGTTTTTAACATTTCTTTAATCATGAGTACTGTGTGTTCTCACATAACTCTTAAGGCTCGTACACACCGGGACGAATATCGGCGCGCGTTATTCGCCAGCATTGTTCACCACGGTTTTTGTGTTCACACCCAAGCGATTTTCGCTGACGATGAGCCGAGTGAACATGCAAATTCATTCCCTGACATTAGATGGCGCCCATTTGCTCTGCAATACCACTCCATGACAGTTCTCTTTTATCAAGATTTTTAAAGTCGCTGTCGCGTTTGTAATATATTTATGTTCCAGCGGCTCTACATTCATCTGGCCTCGCATCTTCCTCGTCTCATTTCTTCCCGGCAGTGTAGACGCTACTTGTCGTATATCTTCTTCGCCGTTACGTATGTGTGCTCGGCAAGACCGTTTTGTGTCTGAGCGCCCCCAAGTTGTGTTTAACCTTAACTTCAGAAGCTCCAGACACGTGAGCAAAAGCGCCAATCTCATTGGTCGGATAGTTTTTGACGCGGCGCGTCAAACTAAAAAAACGAACCCGAGGCGTTTTTTTTTTTTAAATGACGCTTTTACGCGTGCCGTTTTTCGCGTCGGTGTGCACACTCACATTGGCGCCCTTTGTTTAGTCACGAGGCGTTAAACGTCGGCGAATATCGCGCGCGTTGTGAACGGGCCTTTATACTGTGCTGTAGTGCAGCTTGGTTGCTTTCTGTCAAAATACAAGATGCTCTAAAGTTCAGAATAAAGTAGTTTCACAAACCCCGGTCAGGCTGTGGTACTAGATAAGCTTAGCTGCCCTCTTACCCCTAGAAGGTCTCGGCCGTCTTCATCCAGAGGAGGCACCACTTTAGACAGGTCCTGTCGGGCCCACTTGGGAAAGGAGGGTTTGTAGTCTGGCATTGAAGTGACTCCAGGCCATATAGACTCATCCGGAGTGCCCAGAGTTCGAAATATTCGGAAGAGCTGGTCTATTTCAGAATCTCCAGGGAACAATGCCCTCCGAGTAATCTGGTATGAAAAGCCAGAAAGTAAATAAACATCTTAAGCCATCAATAATAGCAAGCTGATAAGATGTGTACATAAAAAAAAAATATACCATTTCAGCAAAGATGCAGCCCAAACTCCAGATGTCGACAGCTGTAGAATAATATTTACATCCCAGGAGAATCTCTGGAGCTCTGTACCACAAAGTTACAACCTATGAAAAAGAATCAAATTAAGGCAGTTACAGATTGAGATGGCAATTTCAAAACACTGCTTCATGAAGCTTCGAAACCTTTATGAATCTTTTGTTTGCGAATCAATGGTTCGGAGCGTGTATCAAATTGCCCGAGTCATGTGATTTCAGTAAACAAGGCTTCATTACATCATCCCATGAATCATGAGGAGTCACTGAGAACCAATGAACAAGTGCCTGTGGGTTTTACCTGATCTCTGATCAGTTTTATACATCTGTAGACGTTTTAATTAGACATTAGTATAATTAAAATGAATGGTAGTTAATAGTCTCTTATTGGCCTGTTTAACTGAGCCATTCATAGAACAAACCCTGACAATTGATAAAAGAACATATAGACACTTGATAATCTTATTAGATAATTAGATAATTGCATTTGAAAGATTTTGTGAAAGTTGTTCTCTTACGAGAGGTTCTCTCGTATTGCGTAAGCTAGCTTACGCTGCGGGAAAGATTCATCTTTGCTGAGATATTGAAGCCAAAAAATTATTTCATAATTTTGTATCCATACACAACGCAGTTCCTCTGCGGCAGACCTAGAGCGGGCTAGCTAGCAGCTCATTGGTTCGCTCAGAGAGAACTGCTTAAGCCTATGGGAGAGCGGGGCTGAACCCGCTTCCAATGAGAGGCGCCCGCGCGCTCATTGCGTCATGACCCGCCAGAATGGGCGTGGCCATGGTGTATATAAGGCGCTCTCCCAGGCTTATATGTTGATTCATTTCATCTTCAGCAAGCTGCACGCTTCTGCTGTTCCTGAGAAAAGCCATCGCCGTCGAAGAAGGCATCCTCTAGCGAGCTCAAGGACCCTGAAGAAGCCGGCCGTCTTCGCCACCTTCAGCCGCCCAGCAAGCTAGGCCATCCGACGATTGTATCCTTTCTCTATTTCTAAAAGAGCCGAGCGTCTTTTTAAAGATGTCTCGTTTTTCCTGCGGCTCTTGCCGCGCTCGTCTCGAGGACGGAGACCGCCATGTCATCTGCGCTCTCTGCTTGGGACTCGAGCATGCAGAACTCGCCCTCGCTGATGGAGGATGCGACCTCTGTGAAAGCCTGCCGTTATCGTCCCTGCGGGCACGACTTCTGGCAGTGAAAACCGCTCCCGCGCCGCCTATTCTCTCGCCGCGTAAAAAGAAACGCCGCTCTCAAAGGCCGCCGGAGCCCCCAGCGGAAACATGCGGGCCGCCGCCGCCGCCTCCCGCTTCCCGCTCTCCCTCCCCGCCCCTGCCGGACATTCAGTTGCCGCCGAGTGGCCGCTCTGTTGTTTCCGATGACGCCGCGGAGGAGAAGGACTCCTGTTCACTGCTCGCTTCTGACAGTGAAGACTGGTCATCTCTCGGATCCGCGAGAGAGTCGACGGGGACCCGCGCCGGGATAGAAGAGGAGCTGATGCGCCTCCTCTCACAGGCCGTCGAACGCCTCGGTCTCGAGTGGTCTCCTCCACCCGAGCAGGCCCCGAACCGAATGGACGGTAGCTTTTTTCATCGGCGCTCGACCCCCGCGTGCACCCGGGCCGCTCCATTCCTGCCTGAACTTCACGCAGAGCTGACAAAATCCTGGAATGCACCGCTCTCGGCTAGAAATCGCTCCGATGTATCCGCCTCGCTGCGCTCGGTGGACGGAGCCGCCGAGAAAGGCTATGCAGCCATGCCGCCCGTCGAGGACTTGGTCGCCACACACCTCTGCCCGCCCTCCGCTAGATGGCGTTCTTCACCCACGCTTCCTTCGAAGGCTTGCAGAGCGACCTCGAGCTTTCATGCTCGCGCTTACGCCGCCGCCGGTCAGGCCGCCGCTGCGCTTCACTCTATGTCTGTCCTCCAAGTGTTACAGAGCGATATTCTCCGTGAATGGGCCGAAGGCGGTAGAAAACCCCCCCCCGCCGTCACGGATTTGAGAAGTGCTACGGATCTCGCCCTTCGCGCCACTAAAGCCGCCGCACAAGCTCTGGGGAAATGCATGGCCAGCCTTTGTGTTGCTGAGAGACACTTATGGCTCACGCTCGCCGACATGGGAGATTCTGAGCGCGCCGCGTTTCTCAACGCGCCCCTCTCCCCGACGGGCCTGTTTGGATCTGCCGTCACGGGAATTGTCGATCGCTTTTCTGAAGTACAGAAAGCTTCTCAGGCGATGAACTTGTTTCTACCCCGCCGCGCTAGCTCTTCAGCGGGCCGCTCTCACGAGCCCTCCGCCAGAGCCCCATCACAGCGCCCCCCTCCGCAGACTCAAACAACTCAGCGCAGTCAGAGCGGCCGCCCTCGCCCTCGCTCTCGCTCTGACAGCCGCCGCAGACCGCCGCCCCCCCGTGGCCCGCGACCCAAGATCACGCTGAAGCCTGATCATCAGAAGTCTGCCTAACAATGTCAAGAAAACGACGGTGCTCTCCCGCCGCGGCCGGACCGCCGTCAAAGCTTCGCCCTCTGCCAGTCCCCGTTATTTCGCCGACTGCTGTAGTGTTGACCGCCACAAACAAGCCGGTGTCCCAGCCCGCTTGCGAGCGACAAAAAGCCGTTTTTACGGCTACCCAGAGAAATCTCAAAAAGAGAAATTTTGCCAGTTGTGTAGAAAATGTGCCCACAATCATGTGTTCACCCATACACACAAGCATAACATATCCCGTGTCTCTATCAGAGCCCCATCACATGAAACGGGCACAGCCCGCTCTAATATCAGAGAACATAAACACGCCCACGAGCTCGTGCACGTGTCCCCTCTCTGCTCGCTCTGTGTCACGGCCCATAGACTCCTCTCTGAGTGCAAATCCCGTTGCCACACACATTCAAAGCGCGCCCACACACTGTGTCCAGCCCGCTATGTGCAGCAATCAGGGCAATACAGCCATTCGGCCACTAGCCGCATGCTCCAAAGCGTGGGAAGCCATTCCAGGCATTTCCCCGTGGGTGTTAAGCATTATAAAGAACGGCTACCTGCTACAGTTTCGCCGCCGCCCGCCTCGTGCGCGCGCGCAGCTCGAATCTTCTGTCAGCCCGCTGGCCGCCGGCACGCTCCGCTCAGAAATTGCGACGCTGTTGCAAAAGGGCGCGATAGAGAGAGTCCCGCCATCTATGACCGAGTCGGGGTTTTACGGCCGTTATTTTCTGGTTCCCAAGAAAGACGGCGGCCTCAGACCGATCTTAGATCTCAGGTCTTTGAACAAAGCGCTCATGAAGAGACCGTTCAAGATGCTCACTACCAGGAAACTCCTCGCGCAGGTGCGCCAAGGGGACTGGTTCATATCTCTAGACCTGAAAGACGCCTATTTTCAGATCCAGATAAATCCCCGTCACAGGCCATTCTTACGTTTCGCCTTCGAGGGTCTTGTTTATCAATACGCCGTTCTCCCGTTCGGCTTATCTCTGGCGCCCCGTACATTCACGAAGTGCATGGATACGGCGCTCGCCCCCCTGCGAAGCCAGGGGCTGCGCATTCTGAATTATCTGGACGACTGGCTGATTTTGGCCCAATCACAGACGGAGCTTCTGTCGCACCGCGCAGTTCTCCTCGACCATTTGGAAACGCTGGGCCTCTCTGTCAACTGGACAAAGAGCTCCCTTCATCCCAGTCAATCGATTTCCTTCCTAGGAATAGATTTGGACTCGGTCACGATGACGGCTCGCCTGTCTACACAGCGCGCGCGCAGTGTTCAGCGTCTAGCCGCCTCGTTCCAGATGGGCACCCGCAGGCCTCTGAAAACTTTTCAGAGGATGCTGGGTTACATGGCCTCAGCCTCCGCTGTACTTCAGCTGGGCCTTCTGCACATGCGCCCGCTTCAGTTCTGGTTGAACAGCCGTGTACCCCACCGCGCGTGGAACACGGGTCGCCAGCTGATCAGGGTTACGCAAACGTGTCTCACGGCGCTGCAGCCATGGACAGTAGCAGAATGGTTTCGTCTAGGCGTCACGATGGGGACCTTTTCCTGCCGAAAAGTCATCTCGACAGATGCATCCAACACGGGTTGGGGTGCAGTCTGCGAGGGCTCACCGGCCTTCGGCCACTGGTCGATTCAGGAAAGCCCATTACATATAAACTGTCTGGAAATGCTGGCGGTCGAGAACGCGCTCTCGCACTTTCTCCCGCGCATCCAGGGACACCACGTCCTGATCCGTTCGGACAATATGGCCGTGGTCTCCTATCTCAACCGTCAGGGCGGTGTCAGATCCAGAAATCTCTGTCGACTGACGCACCGCATTCTAGTTTGGTCTCAGAGCCGCCTGCTCTCGCTCAGAGCGACGCACGTGCCGGGCCATCTGAACGACGGTCCAGACATACTGTCCAGGAACCTCATCTCCACAGGAGAATGGTCCCTGAACTCACAGACGGTCCAGTTACTGTGGCGACTATTCGGCAGAGCAGAAGTAGACCTCTTCGCGTCAGAAGAGAACGCTCACTGCCCAATATATTTCTCGAAGAGCGAGGACGCGCTAGCCCAGGAATGGCCTCGCCGCCCGCTCTATGCATTCCCTCCGATCGCTCTGTTACCACAGGTAATTCAGAGGATCAGGGACACACGCCACTCGGTGCTCCTCATAGCCCCGCGTTGGGAGAGTCAGAATTGGGTTCCGGAGCTCACGCAGCTGTCACAGACAGCCCCGTGGCCCATCCCAGTCAGAGCAGATCTCCTCTCTCAAGCTCGCGGCACGATCTGGCACCCCCATCCACAGCGCTGGGCGCTGCATGCATGGGTGATCAACGACTATTCGTTGATTTGCCAGAGGGAGTAAGAAACACTGTCATACAGGCTAGAGCACCTTCCACGAGAAGGCTCTATGCGTCTAAATGGTCTGTGTTCTCAAAATGGTGCACCGACAAACAGCTGGACCCACGGTCGTGCGAGGTGCCGTCTTTGCTTGTTTTCCTTCAAGAGATGCTGGACAAGGGCAGGTCCCCCTCCACTCTCAAGGTTTATGTGGCAGCCGTCGCGGCGTTCGCGGAACCCCGACGCGCTCAGTCATTGGGCAAAGACGAGTTAGTCATCCGCTTCCTCAGGGGAGCTAAGAGGATGAACCCTCCGCGGCCCCCGTCGGTTCCGGTTTGGGATCTTTCTATAGTCCTTGAAGCTATGAAAGCACCCCCGTTCGAACCGCTCGAGTCTGTGGATCTGAAATACCTCTCGCTCAAAACCGTTTTCCTGACGGCTCTGTCCTCAGTTAAACGCGTTGGGGATCTTCACGCGCTCTCATCCAGCGCCGCGTGTCTTGAGTTTGGACCGAATGATTCGATTGTCATTCTCAAACCTAGGCATGGCTATGTCCCGAAGGCGATTGGTACCCCGTTCAGGGCTCAGATTATCTCCCTATCGGCTCTGCCTTCATCCGATAGTGAGCGCGATGCCAATCTCCTTTGTCCGGTGCGGGCTCTGAGATTGTACACTACGCGCGCTGCCGCGTTCAGACGCGCTGAGCAGCTTTTCGTGTCGTTTGGGGGGCGCACCAAGGGTCTGGCCGCCTCAAAACAGACACTGTCTAGATGGATAGTGGACGCTATCGCCTCTGCTTACGCATCTAAATGCCTGCCCTGCCCTCTGGGCATCAGGGCGCACTCCACTAGAGGCATGGCCTCATCGTGGGCATGGTCCTGTGGAATTTCCATTCATGACATTTGTGTGGCCGCGGGATGGGCCTCCCCGTCCACTTTTGTCAGGTTTTATAACTTGGAAGTTCCCGCCTTGCAGGCAAAATTACTAGCTGTCTGACGAACAGCTCTCTAAGAAGCTGCATTTCTGGAGGTCCCTCACAACCGGTTCGCCCCTTGTGCTCTCCTGTAATGCTTATACACTTCATGTGCCCGCTCTGCTGGCCCCATACATGCTTATGTGTACACTTCATGAGCCCGCTCTGCGGCCTCTTTGTACATTCACTCCACGTTAAGAAATTCCCCCGGTATATCCCTGGGTTTTTCATGAGTGGATTCGTAGCGCGCACGGCGTTGGCCAGGTGTTCCCGCAGCGTAAGCTAGCTTACGCAATACGAGAGAACCTCTCGTAAGAGAACGAATCGGTTACCTAACGTAACCTCGGTTCTCTCTAGAAGAGGGAACGAGTATTGCGTTCCCGGCCGTGCTTGCGCTACTAGCGTTTCGCTTCACGCTGAAATAAATCAACATATAAGCCTGGGAGAGCGCCTTATATACACCATGGCCACGCCCATTCTGGCGGGTCATGACGCAATGAGCGCGCGGGCGCCTCTCATTGGAAGCGGGTTCAGCCCCGCTCTCCCATAGGCTTAAGCAGTTCTCTCTGAGCGAACCAATGAGCTGCTAGCTAGCCCGCTCTAGGTCTGCCGCAGAGGAACTGCGTTGTGTATGGATACAAAATTATGAAATAATTTTTTGGCTTCAATATCTCAGCAAAGATGAATCTTTCCCGCAGCGTAAGCTAGCTTACGCAATACTCGTTCCCTCTTCTAGAGAGAACCGAGGTTACGTTAGGTAACCGATTCGTTTTTATGCATGCTTGCACTGTTCTGACCACTAGGGGTCGCCGTGGAGACGGGGGTCGGATTGTTTCGAAGCACATGCAAAACTGGTTGATAACAATAGCAATTCATTCATTATTCCCAACTGAAGTTTATACGTACACAAGATATGAGTCAAGAATATCGTTTGATTTCTTAATAGTAATATATCTTGGCTTATTGCTTCAAACAAGCAAACATACATCTGTGTTATATATATTCTCATTTTCACATTATAATTGAATCTTATGTTGTGTTCTGTATTGTCTTAAGTATAGAGATAAAGAAAGTCTCCATTTTCCCCCAGTTTTTTTTAAGGTCACAGGACGATTTTATGCAGCAGTAAGTGTCCATTACATTTATATAGAGTGGATTCTGACTAACTGTACCACCTCTGATTGGCCATTGCGATCACGTGCTCAACAGACATATGTGATTGGCTAAAGGGTGTAAACAGAAACCTTTGACGCTCTTCAGAGAGAGCTCTCACACACTCTCGGGAGAGTTTGAAAGCAGCTGCCTATCAGCAGTCATACTTGTGAGATGAAAAAGAGGAGTGAAATTAACTCTTTGGCTAGTCCAGTCTTTATAAACCAGTCTTTATAAACTGGTTTCTTACTGTCATACAAATTTTGCCTGTCTCCCTCAACATTTTCTTTACGTTCAGTGCAACTCGCTTCGAGACTTTCAGTTGCATCTTTCTTTCAGCTTTTCTAGCTTTCTTGATGGTGATTTTATATTTGACAACTATTTTAAAACTATTACTGCATCTGCTTAGTAGTCTTTAGAGCTGCATGATTAATCGATAAAAGACGGGGATCTTGACTCAAACACAAACAGTCTTTTCAACCACAGTATCATTATTACAATAATTCAAATTATCACAGAAGTGCTGGGATAAGAGTTTATAGTTCAGATATAAACACTGATGTCGATTAGCGATCAAAATAGAGTAAATCACCTTTTGAAAGTAACTTGATTCAAATAAAGATAGCTTCAATTACATTGTTACACCAGCAATGTTGCAGCCCCTCACCTCATGTGTATAAGTCCGCACAGGTACACCAAACGCTCTGGCCAAACCAAAGTCCGCCAGTTTGATCTCGCCCTGAGCGTTGATCAGGAGATTCTGGGGTTTGAGATCCCTGTGAAGAACCCGATGGGAATGACAGAAGGCCAGTCCCTGGAGCAACTGGAACAGGTAACTCTGATGAACAAATACACAGACAGACACATTATTTCCCTACATTTGGCCATTACCACACCTTCTTGGATGTTTAATAGTTGTGGGCTGCATTTCCCAAAAGCATTGTAAGCCCTTAAAGCTCCTGTAGGTAACTTTTGAAAACATGTATTTGCTAAAACTGTCATTATGTCCTGACAGTAGAATATGAGACAGATAATCTGTGTAAAAATCAAGCTCCTCTGGCTCCTCCCAGTGGTCTTATTGCCATTTGCAAGAAATACACGCTCCCGGTCAGAAACAACCAATCAGAGCCAGGAGGAATGTCTTAGCAGTGTCAATCACGCTCGTGTACGCGCTGATCACACGCCTCTCTTGCACAGCGCGATCCGTCGTTCAAACTCAAGATTGCCGGCGTGCTGCAGCTGTGTTATGACGGAGAAACAACCTAAACGGCCAATTCTCGAGTGACACCTGCTCATAAAACAAAGAGGTAAAAGGAAAAAGACCGATGACGATAAACAAGCGAAAAAGAAAGAATTACACAGAGCCCATTGACTCGGTGTCAAAACTCTAGCCGCATAACATGTAGATAAAATGTCACGCACTCTGCTAAGCAACAATTGAAACCTGCTAATTCACTGGCTTGTCATGTTGCTGAAATAATGTACTAGCACACCTTATCTAGCATTATATATCGCTAGAATAATTACTTACATACTGTAACGTTAGTTACCGTTATATTAACGTCATCTTACTAGCTATTTTTAACTTATAGAAAGAGTGGAACGTTATAAAGTTACATGTAGGCTATTGGAAAATACATAATGATTTGAGGACCAAGTTTGTAGTCAAAGTATGGGCAGGCCATAGTCAATGTAAAGCATATTATTGACGTTTAGTCCCTATTAGTGAATGTGCCATGTAACTTTTTATCCGCTGTTATCGGTGGCCCTGTTTACTAGCCTGCGCGTTCACGACAGGCTCCGCTGTGGAGGACGAGCTGTGGAGGGAGGGCTGTAGCGCAGCAGAGAGCAAGGGGGTGGGACCTGTAAGTTGTGCTTGTTCAAATTTTCAGGCTAAGTCAACGTTTTCTCAAAACTCCCTACTGCAGCTTTAATAGCAATACGTCACACCCTTATTGTTTTTTTCACACACCTACCACTTAGTGAGTGTCAAACCTGTTGTCTAACAAAAGGACAAATAGACAGGATAGGTCAGGTTCTGCTTCATCATTGAAGGATCAAGGTGGTTCATTTTTAAACTGGGGTTAGTTACCCCACATTATTATGTTTCTTGGGTCTGCACTATTCCCTTCAAAGCAAACAAACCAGCACGCCTTTGTTTGTTTCTTAATGATGGTTGTGTTCAAGTAAGCCTGAAATGCACAGGTTGACTCATGAGTTGAGTATGTGCGCTAAATCTGCACAGTTTACATAAACTTTGCCAGCAAATTGAACGTATTTTGTGAAACATGACCAGCCATGGCTAGTTCAACTTCACATCGTCACCCGCCAGTTGATTTTTACCCACATTTGATGGGTGTTAATTTCAAACCCTGTCATTATGAAATTGCACAGAACATCTCCTGTGTGTAAAAGCAAAGTGTTTAATTACCTTGTGGTTAAGATAGTATATTATAGTAGAGCTCAACTAAAGTTATATTCGTTGACAAAATGGTAATACCGTTAGACAAGTTGTTTTTGGAATAAAAAGTATGCTAGCTAACATTAGATTTTGTGGAAACTACTCTTACAACATAATCTCAAAACCAGTCATCCATGTCAGGCTAATTAACAGTCCCAACGCTACTTCAAGACATTCTTAAGTTAAAGGGATAGTTCACCCAAAAATGAAAATTCTGATTGATTTCTCACCCTCATGTCCTTCCAAACCCGTAAGACGTCCGTTCATCTCCAGAACACAAATGAAGATCTTTTTGATGAAATCTGAGAGTTTTCTGTTCCTCCATTGACAGCTACGCAACTACCACTTTGAAGATTCAAAAAGTTCATAAAGAGATCATAAAACTAATCCATGTGAATTGAATGGTTTAGTACAATTTTTTTTTATTTGATCGCTTTATATGATGAAGAGATTTTATTTAGGCTTTTATTCACATCTAAATATTGACTACGTTTACATGCAGCCAATTTTCGGGTTATGGTCGTGTTAAGGTCACTATTCGGGTTTCTGAAACTTAGGAATAACCCATTTACATGCGTGAGCAGAGAGAGTTTCTCCTGTATACATGGAATTGCAATGTCCCGATGTAAACGGCGACACACGGTTAGCGTCTGGACGTACGGACAACCTTAAGACGCACTATGCGTCATTTCCGATTCTTCTTCCTGTATCCAAAGACAACAACAGCAGCAGCAGCACGCGGATAATGAATAGTTCGGGGCAGATAGCGATCGCCTTTGTTTGCACTTTGGTGCTGGTACTGACCTCGCTCCAAAAGTATGCTGTGCTGCGTCTCGCCATGTTTACTTCCGGTATACCGCACGCGGGTTTTTGTAAGCGCCGAGAAGTTCCTCTACTCAAAAGACCAAGATTCCTTGCGAATAGAACATGCGCAGAACACAAATCACTATGGGGATCTGCCGATGCGCGTTTACATGACCAAAAATTCGGGTTAGAAAAGGGGTACCCCAGGTATCATATCCCGGTTTTTAAAATCCGGGATATAAGCATATTCGGGTTTTTGCCGGTGTTTACATGACCGTGCGCGACCGGGTTATTGCTAATATCCCGGTTTTGAACGGGTTATTGGCTGCATGTAAACGTAGTCACTGATCAGCGAACAAACAGAAGCTCAACTGAACCTGCTTGACGTGCGAAAACAAACCTCTTCAAAAAAATTTGGACTAAACCACTAAATTCATATGGATTCGTTTTACAATCTCTTTATTAACTTTTTGAAGCGTCAAAGTGGTAGTTGCGTAGCTGTCAGTGAAGGAATTTCACAGGGAAATCTCTCAGATTTCATCAAAAAGATTGTGTTCTGAAGATGAATGAAAGTCTTACGGGTTTGGAGCGACATGAGGGTGAGAAATTACAGACAGAATTTTTCAATTTGTGTGAACGATCCGTTTAAGAAGAACTCCAAGAGATGGCTCTCTTCAGTCATGTTCACTCTTCCCAGGAGCGTTGCATGTGTGAAGCCAGGAGGAGTGTGTTTTATTTTTTGGACAACTCTGAAGGCATTATTCTCATGATTTTATGAGGCCCTAAGTGTGTTCATCTTGAAGCGGCGCTGTGCAGACCGATCAGTGTATGACATAAAAGTACAGCGAGAACGATTACAGAGCAGACGGACAGGGGTGTGTTTCCCGTGCAACGACGTAACTCGCCGCTTAACTTCAGTATGATGCATCATGAAGAAATCAACAGGCTAGTCACGACTGTTTCCCCAAGCCGTATTGTCGCAAATTGGTCGTTCAGCCACGCTGGTTAATGATGTCACACACGTGGTGGAGTAATAACTTCTTTTAATGAATATGTTTGAGATCGAATTAATGCTATAAATTAGAGGTCGACCGGTTCATCGGTTTTGCCGATTAATCGGCACCGATAGTTGTTTGGTGGAACTATCGTTATCGGCAAAAATCCACACCGATAGTTTTTCCGGGTTGCGTCCGTTGCTGGAGCGGCTGAGAAGTGCGCGCGGTCATTACACAGCACGATTTTTCGTTATCAAAGTTTATAGTTGTAACAAAAAGCAGAAATCTCACACTCCTTACCTTCATAATAATTTCCTTTTCCTCTGTCGAGCGATCATGAGAGTAGGCTATTCGCTCGACAGAGGAAAATATAACCGTTGAAAAGACGTAGGAGGAAGGGGCTCTGTGTTTCGTGAGACCATTTTTTATCATTTTTATATGCCTTAATTCGTGAATTCGTAATTGGCGCGTTTCACCATAAGTGTGCAATGCGCGTGACGTCTACGTTCGTCAATAAATAAACTGCACGTGTCTTGCGGAAGAACATTGTAGACGGAACTTCTCTCCGTTAATGTCTAAGGCGAGTCACGCAGGCACTGGGCTACTCCGCAGCCGAGACGACCCCGGGATAAAATAGTCCGAATATAAACACTTATTATAGGCGTACCGTAGTGATTCAGAATAAGTCAAAAACACGGTTTGGAAAATGGATTCATGATGTAGCCTACTCGTTCATTTTGAACATAAGTTACGGACTGCACCAGCTGATACAACGGCGTTCTGTTGCTCAAGCGTCCACTCGCACAAATGCGACCACATAACATTTTAACTCGCACATTCTCAAAAAATGGTCGCATATGCGACCAATTTGGTCGCAGTCTGGAACCCTGTGAATGATAAAGGTACAATTGTATTGCTCATATTAATACATGCAGTAAAAAGGTATATTGCATTATGCATATAGTTCATGAAAGCTAGTTAATACATCCTTGTTTACAAATGGGACTTGCAAAGTGTTACCTATGAAATGTACGTATGTTTCTAGGTTATAGCTAACGAAACCTGTAATATTTTAATGTTTAAATTATTTTCTGTATAAAGTTTTAATATATTCATATTTATTTATTTAATTGAGCACATTTCAGTTCAGCACTGTTTTATTGTGAGTATGATGTTTGTTTTTAATCCAGTATCTATTAAAAAAAATATCGGTTGAATTATCGGTTATCGGCATGTACGGTCAAACCTAGATATCGGTATCGGCAAAATCCACTATCGGTCGACCTCTACTATAAATTATGGACATCTGAGGACTATTTCTCATTTTTCTAAGTTATTTTGCTTTATTTTTCAGATTTAATCATATGCTCGTTCTTACGTACTAGAGCACATTACGCACATCCGCACTCTTCAAAAACTACGCTTTAAATCTCTTGGCAAACTAAAAGACGTAAATGACATTTGTATGCATTCTAAATGAAAGACACAGGTTGTACTGAATGTCACCTTGCTTATTTTGCTCAAGATAAGGATTAATTGAGTCCACATGTCATGAAAACAAGAAACTGCTTCTAACCA